TATTTGAGCACGGATGAGGAGGCGGCAGCATTGGCGGGCACCTGGGCACGATTGTGGGGTCAACATTTATCATCTAGTGCTCCTACACTCTCCTACTGGAGTACAGGCTTTTCCTCTCAAGTGGGGGTCGCGATTCGCTTGACTCCTCAATCTGCGTCTCACGCTTCTACATGGAAGCCGGACTTATGGACAACCAGAACGATGACTATAGTGTTCGATGGAAATGTGCTACTAAATATTGACGCCCCGAATGTGTGGCGGGACCTTAAAGTGATTTTTCATATTCTTCTTGCTTGGGATTTACACGACCAACCGACCGACCGTCCTCGTCGGGGACTTTAATTGTGTGTACAGTCCAGAGATAGATCGTTACGGTCATCACCGTTCGTATAGGTCGAAAAGGCCAGCGCTTGATGCTCTGGTTGCCCCCGCCGGATTATCTGATGCGCAAATGCTTCGAGAATTTGCGGACGATGACGCCGCCGATGACTTTGATGATCATAATGTCTATTGGGAGTGAGGTCACGCCAGTCGTATTGACCGATTTTACGTCCCCGCTCATTGGGTTAATCGGGTCCAATGGGTGTCAGCTTTCCCACCCCCGCTACTTTCTGGTCATCAGCAGGTGGTGCTTCACGTCCGAGCCTCGGCGAGTAGACATCAACTTCATCCTCGTCGTCCGGGTGACCTATCCCATCCAAACTTTGCATCCTGATCGGGTTCTCGCCGAGTAATTGGAGGACATGGATAATTTGGCGGTTGGGCAAGGGTCATCGACGGTATCATGGGATGCTGGTATGGCTATGATCATCCAATGTATTTACAATGTTCGCAAGAAGGAGAAACAGAGGCGTACCAGGCTGCGTCGCAAGTGCATTTACCAAAGGACCTGTAATCTAATGTCTAGGGAGCTGTGGGTTGAGCAGAATGTCGAAGACTTACGTCGCGAGCATCTCGTACGTCTCGGGCAGCGCCTCGAGCGGTCCTCGGATCTGTTACGGTGGACATTCCAACGGGTTTCGAATTGGGAGCGCGACCAATGTGTCACGAACAAATTTCAGCTGCACGGTCCTATCTTTGTCGGGAACCTGTCGGTTGCTAAAAATTTGCGTTTGCGTGGTCGTCCGTACTGCAAACCAGTCACCGTACGATGCCGCTCAGCAATCTGTACTCGGCCGTCCGACGATTAGTGCGCGTCCCCAGCGCCCGAAAGTTGTCTGGTGATGAGAATATGGCACTTTTTTCCTGTGTCACGGAAGCGGAGGTTCTGACGGATGTTACAAGTCTCAGTCGCCATAAGGCAGCGGGGCCCGATGGTTTTAACAATGAGTTCTTCAAGGATACGCCTGCTCTACTCGTTCCTGCTCTCGTAGCCATCAGCAACCAAATTTTGGAAGGCGCCGATCCGCCGCCCTCATTTCTGGAGTGTAACGGGGCACGCCTTGTGTCAAGTCGACACAAGGTTGTGTGCAACCGATACACGTACACGTGGCGTGAAGAAGCGCAGCGAAGTAGGCAGAACTCGAAAGTTCTGTCAAAGGGTAAAAGTAGAATTGTAATGAATATATTTATGTTTCTCAATAAATCATCTTTCGTCTTGAGTTAACTATATTAAACTACAATATTCAATGTGGGTTTCTTGCTCACCACCCATTGCGCGCGTCCAGCAGCGATTGGTGGTTAATCTGTTTGATGTACCGTGAACATCAACCATCAGGTGGAGCAATCCATCAATGAGAAATTACCCTCGGGGGTAATATTCCTTCTACCTTACTCCTTACGGGTAATATCCATTGAACACGATCTAAATAGATTATGTTCGAAAATTGATGCAAAGATATCTATTTTTATGTAACGGGCTCACCCCGTTACATGAAGGCCCTTATTATCCCCTTACGTAAGAAGGAAGATTCGACGGATGCCATGGACTATCGGCCTTTTTCGCTACTGCAAACGAGCTACAAGATATTTGCCAAGGTTCTGGCTACGCGCTTGCAGCGCGTTCTACCTCACCCTCTTGGGCGGTCGCAGCAAGGTTTTGTTTTCGGCGGGCAGATGATAAAGCTCGTAATGATGATGTTGGCTCAACTTGCTACGGCTCGGCACGATGAGACTCGCGCAGGTCTCGATAGCCGCGCCATACTTTTACTCGACTTTCTCTAGGCTTACCATACGGTCGATCGAGATTTTTTGTACGAGGCTCTACGCAGTTTTGGTTTCTACGAACATTATATTTAGGTTACACATCGGCTGCATGCAGGGACGACGGCATCCTTTCTCGTCAATGGTGAGCTTTCCAAGCCTATCCCAGTGGTATCGGGCATTTGCCAAGGGTGCCCGCTCGCCCCCCTCTTTTTCTATTGGCGGTCGAACTCTAGGGCTGGCTATTCACCACTCGCCTGACTTGCGCGGTCTCCCGGTCCCAGGCGGCGGGGCAGGTTCTCATACCCTTTCCGCCTTTGTTGATGACTCGACCATATTTCTCGAGGAAGCGCAACAGTTGCCGTCAGCGCTACAGCTCGTTCATACAATTTGGCGCTCTGTCCGGTTTGCATGCGCAACCGGCCAAGCGCAAACTGATTTTCCTAAACCGCGCGATTCGATTAGTTGATTTCCACGGCATCTCGGTCCTTCAAGCCGGTGAGACCACGCGGTACTTGGGGTACGAGATTGGAACGGGTGAACTCCAGCATCGCAATTGGGCGCTACTATTCCGACGGCTGCAGCGGCGTCTGCTCACGGCTTCGGCATTATCGACCAGTGTCGCTACTTGCGTGCTCATTCTCAACGCCGTCATATAATTGTCGATCCTGTTCACGGCAACGGTCTTTGAGATCTCGTCATGGGCCAGCAAGGAAGTTCACAATCTCTACAAACACTTTCTTTGGGAACATTCGTTTCGACAGACGCGAGTCGTCACAAAATCAACCCTGGTTTACTGTACACGCCAAAGAATGCTGGTGGAGTTGGTCTAGCCTCGGTAGATGTGGCCATTAAAGCGCAAAGGACCAAACACGCGCTGCGCTGGCTGACCCAATCTCACGACACGTAATTTTATGCTTGGCGGTCCTGGGCATACCAAGGCGGATCTACCGGTTCTGGTATGATCATGCATAAATGGCTGCGTAGCCGTGAACGGCCTTTACGCACTAGCAGACATTCGTCGGCTTTCGTTGCTAAAGATCTCGACCTGCTTCTCGAGCCGTCGGCGGAGCAAGCTGGACACCGCCGGGCTCGGACATCGTCTTTCCTTGATTCCCTAGTGCTCCATGCGGGCAGTCGATGGATTGGGCGTGTATGGGAATACAATTTTCCACTCCGTTACCGGACGAAGTCGCTACTCCTGATTGTCCTGATCATCAACTACGCGCGGTGCGTCAATTTTGGGGGACGTTTGGCTGGTCCAGCAATCCGTGGATCCGGGATGCGAAGGGCGCGAAGTTGTTGCACTTGAAGTTTAATCAAATTGACGCATGCTCTATCGCGGATCTGCACATTTGGCAGACGGGCCCGACCACTTATGTTTATACCATCCCGCCCTCGCGGCCAGAGGGAGTCACGTGTTCCCAGCCTAAACTTCGCCGGTGGGCAACAGCAATTTTATTGGCGTCTCCGTTGTTAACGATTGGATCGGAATTGGGCGTGGCGTCCGCCTTATCGCTTCGGCATCCCCCACCATTTCGTTTTGAATATGACTGGGTCACTGAGTGTCGGGGTTGCGTCGTGGGCGCTCGCAGGAATTTACCAGTGGAGGGAATGGGTAGGGTGCGATGACGCCAGGGCTCTGACGGGCTGCATTGGGTTTTTTCAAGAGGGCCTACCCGAGCTCCACTTGGCGTCGGACGGTGACAGTCTGAGTTGGGCTGCGCACATCAGGCAGCACGGAGTGGTCTTTTACGCCCACCCAAGGCATTACCGCTTCGCGTGGGGAGTACCCCAAACGGTTCCTAATGGATCTCTACGTCGGGCTATTTTGCACCGGGCTTTTTAGCTGCACAAACGCCGACTAACCCGACGTTCACTACCCTTTTCGGAGCGGCTAGATGCTGTCATTCGCGAGGCTTTGTGGCAACGGGCGGCGGCACATCAGCAACCATACCAAACTTGGAAGCATTACAGCGGACTCTCCGACTTTCAAGTTTGGCCGGCGTATCGCGTCGCCACCAAGCAGCATATTTTTTCCACGCCGGGCCCTGCCTGCGTGTCACGGGATGCCCGAAACGTCGGGGCACGTGTTTTTGGGATTGCCAGAAGGCGCGAGCGTGCTGGAGAGAATTCCTCAGCCATTGGACTGGCGCTTCTGTGTCGTGTGCAGTTGTAGATAGTTCTCTCGGCAACTGTGCGAACCGTCAGGCTCCGGCGATCCCAAGGCTTCAGCGGTCTCTTTTGCTCGAGCGGATCGAGGGCCTCCTGTCGAAATGGCGTGCTCCGTATCGTCTGCCTCCTTGAATAAGCGTTGACCTGAGCAGGGAGCTCTCCATCTCCGAGACTGCCACGCCGTCGTTCCAATGTGATGAACGCTCACACATGTTTCCCATCTGAAGCTCAACTGTCCGGCTATGCTCGCAAAGATGATTCACCAAATCCTTCGAGTCCTTGTAGCTTTCAATCGGCCACGCCAGAGCTTTACGATACGTCCACTCGCTCCCGATACGTTGTTTCCAAACGCTACTTCTGTTGCGTGATACAGACGACGAACGAATCGTCGTCTGTTAGAGAATCGTGCGCACGGCAGAGTTGCAATGTGCTGTATTCCTTGTGAAGGCGCGCAGAATGACAACCCACGCACGCGGTTGCTCGAGATCGGTTTTCGTGATCCCAAATTTTAAAGAGTGTAAGGAAAAGCGATTGTGCAGCCAAAAACAAGGCAACGAAGGGCGCACGACGACGCGAGCGCGCACGTTGCTGTGGGCATCCTCTCTAGTGCTTCAGTCCGTTCGTGCGACGGTCACGAAGTTTTCCCCGCCTTTCGTCGTTACTCAGTCCAAGTACACAGTCACATGTCGTCCGTCCATCCGCACTCGCGCGAATTTCTACAGAATGCGGAGACACAAACACTTGTCATTTTACTCGAACAAGCAACAATGCCCAGTGAAAAGGAAAAGTTTGGCATCACTAAACACCACGTGAACGTCGGCACCATCGGCAGCGGAGCCCCGCACAAGGCGAATACATCCCAGGCAAAGACGAGTGACTTCTCCGAGACAGGCGGCGCCAATTCTGCGGCGGAAATGGACAATGGTAAGGCGCCGAAAGAATGCGCTTCGGACCTCGCGGCTGCCAAGAAGACTCCATCTGAGTAGCTATCCCACGCACGGACTTCGTGATCGCGACGGCGTATTACTTAGCTCTTGCTGACTCGTAACAATGTCATACACGTGGTAATTTCAGACTCCAAAGTCCACTCGTGTGCTATGTGTATGCGATCGTGTGCATTTTGTACGTGCAGCCAGAGCTGTAAAGTTCGAGACGGTCTCATTCGTCAGTGCGTCTATGATGCTACAAGTACGTCGCAAAGACACGCTCGTGTACGTATCAAAGACAGTCACTGACTCGCGAGAGGTATCTGGTACCGTGCGCGATCGTCAGTAGATTCAGAACGCGCGGCTGATGATCGGATGCCGCGTCAGAAGCGCCTGACGCACGCGGTGCTTTGTATGTATCCGCGAAGGTTTCGTTCCTTTCGTCTTGACAATTGACTGTTGTTGTCTGAACGTAAAAGTGCGTGTAATTGTCCGAAAGCGTTCGACTAATGTTCGTGTCGGCCCGCAAGCTGGCGACAACCGACCCATGTAACAGCTTACGTGCACCTTATTGGCTAAATATCGAAATCCTGCACGCCTACCGATTGCGCGATCAGCTCCGAAGTCCAACATTCGCCCACCGTTGTGTACGTCACCTCAGTTTCGTCACGGGCCCGGCAGTAACCTGATGAACGTGCGCCCCGCCTGCCGTCCATACAATCGCCAAGTCGCGCGAGTCGTGTCGTCCGTCCCCACCTCTCCTCCCCCTGCCGCCAGTCACTTTTCCACCAGACCGCCGCCCGCGCCATGTTCGCCCGCAAGTTCGTCGCGGCGCCCGTGCGCCTCGCCACGCGGTCCATGGCCAAGTTCGACCGCTCGAAGCCGCACGTGAACGTGGGCACGATCGGCCACGTGGACCACGGCAAGACGACGCTCACGGCCGCCATCACGAAGGTCCTGTCGGAGACGGGCGGCGCCGAGTTCACGAGCTACGCGGACATTGACAAGGCGCCCGAGGAGCGCGCGCGCGGGATCACGATCTCGACGGCGCACGTCGAGTACGAGACGGAGACGCGCCACTACGCGCACGTCGACTGTCCCGGGCACGCGGACTACGTCAAGAACATGATCACGGGCGCCGCGCAGATGGACGGCGGCATCCTCGTGGTCTCGGCCGGCGACGGGCCCATGCCGCAGACGCGCGAGCACATTCTGCTGGCGCGTCAAGTGGGCGTCCCGGCGCTCGTTGTGTTTATGAACAAGGTGGACCAAGTGGACGACGAAGAGCTCTTGGAGCTCGTGGAGATGGAGATCCGCGAGCTCTTGGAGGCCTACGACTTCCCCGCCGACGACATTCCAGTGGTCCAGGGGTCGGCGCTCGCGGCCGTCGAAGGACGCGACCACGCGATCGGCCGCGACGCCGTCCGCAAGCTCATGGACCAAGTCGACGCGTACATTCCGGACCCCGTGCGCGACTTTGAAAAGCCGTTCCTCATGCCCGTGGAAGACGTGTTTTCCATCTCGGGGCGGGGTACGGTCGTCTCGGGGCGCGTCGAGCAGGGCGTGATCAACACTGGCGACGAGGTCGAGCTCGTGGGCCTCAAGCCCAGCTTCAAGACCACGTGCACGGGCGTCGAGATGTTTAAAAAGTCGCTGGACCGGGGCCAGGCAGGCGACAATGTCGGGCTGCTGCTGCGTGGACTCAAGCGAGACGAAGTGCTGCGCGGCCAAGTGCTGTGCAAGCCTGGCACCATTGACCCGCACACGAAGTTTGAGGCCGAAGTGTACGTGCTCAAGAAGGAGGAAGGCGGCCGCCACACGCCGTTCTTCAGCAACTACCGACCGCAGTTTTTCTTCCGCACGGCCGACGTGACAGGCAACATTTTGCTCAAGGCTGGCACGGAGATGGTCATGCCAGGGGACAACACGGCCATCGACATTGAGCTCATTTCGCCCATTGCTCTGGACGCCGGCATGAAGTTTAGTATCCGCGAGGGCGGCCGCACGATCGGCGCTGGTGTCATCTCCAAGGTCCAGTCGTAAGTTCTTTTCTGCAGAGACGACGGCGTGGCTTTGAACGAAAGGATGAGATGATGGCGGCAGGTACTCGCGTAGCTCGCGTCGACAGTCGTGTGCAACACCAATACATACATTTTAGTACACCCACATGGCCGCCATTCCGCTTTTGTGCCTACTAATAATAATAGCGCGCGATCTGCGCAGGTACAATGTGAGCACCTCAACGAACGTCATAACGTGTGCAGAGATGGCGTCGAGGCACAAACGATCGAGCTATCGGCGTCAACGCAGCAGCAGCAACGCATCCAGTGCACATTGTCGTATATGAAACAAAGTGTATCATCAGTTTATCTCCCCCATGGGCGGCTCGCCGTTTACCATCGAAAACCTATCGCCGACATCGCTCGTGCTCAGCAAAGAGAGCACCTGGCTCCAAGCCGCGGCCGCATGAAGCCACACTTGGCTTGCAGTCACTTAACGGAAAGTCTAGGAAGCAGCAACGGACGCGGCCATCGCGGCCTTAGCAGATGCAGCCGCGCTGCTAGTTGCCCGTGACTCTGAGATAGAGCTCTGGTACGTGCGGAACGCATTGACGATATGCGGGAAACTCGGCCGCAGTTCCGGCTGACGGTTCCAACAGGCTTTCATCAAGCGCGAGAAAAACGGCGGACAGTCGCGCGGGATATTAGGCCGCAGGTTGCGGTTCAGCACGCCGAGCGCAGCCTGGATCTGACTCATGCCGTCGTATGGACACTCGCCCGTGACAATCTCCCAAATGACAATGCCAAACGAAAAGACATCGGCCTTCTCCGTGTACTTCTGGTTGCCCAATACTTCCGGCGCCATCCACTGCACTGTGCCACAGTTTCCCGTCATGGTCTGCACGTGCGCCTTAACCCGCGCGAGGCCAAAGTCCGACAGCTTAATGTTAAAATTCTTGTCCACCAATAGGTTCGGACTCTTGAGGTCCCGGTGCAAGATCGGGCGCTCAAAGTGGTGCAAGTACGACATGCCCTTGGCCGTGTCGTAAATGAAGCGCGACCGCATCTCCTGGTCGATCGACTTGCGGTTCATGCGCAAGACGCCCCACAGCGATCCGCGCTGCAGCAACTCGACCACCAGCGCGCGGTGCGGCGGTTCCATGCACGCGCCCAGCAGGCGGCAGATGTTGGGGTGGCGCAAGACGCTCATGATCTCCACCTCCGACTGGAACTCATTCAGAATGTCGCTGCGCAAGTCCTGGCAAATGAGCAACTTGACCGCCACGCTCTTGTTCCGCCACTTGCCCTCGTGCACTTTGCCAAACGCGCCTTCGCCAATCATGCGGCCGAGCGTGATCTCGTGAAAATTGATGTGTTGACGGTATCCGTTTCCACGGGCTTTCGCCCCGCCTTCGACAATCGTCGTCCTGTCTTTGTCTGCTGCCAGCCCCGCAGCTATTGCAGCCCCGGGCGGCGCGCGTGCCCCCTGGCCGTCGCGCTTCGCAGCGTGCGCCAGGCGCTGGTGGTCCCCGTGGCCGCTCACGATCGTGTCGTCCGTGTTGGTCGACGACACGGCGTCGTCGCTCGTGGCCGTGGCCGCCAGGGCCGAGGGCGTGGCGGCACTGGGCTCTTTTATGTCGTCGTGGCCGGCGTTGAACCAGGCCGAGAGAAAGTGCGGGATTTTGGCTTTTTTGGCGCCATCGAGCTTGAGTTGCTGCACGGGCTCCATGTGTTGCCCCAAGAACTCGGTCGAGTTGCGACGGCCGCCGCGGTCCTGCCGCACAGTGGCCACGGACGCCTCGTCTGGCGGCGGCGACGGCTGCGGCGGCCCTTGCTCCTTGTCGGGCCGCGGCGTCGCCCGGTGGGCCTGTTCGGCGCGCTGGTTGGCCCGTTGGTTGGCCTTTTGCTGCCGCCGGAGCTCTTCGCGGAACGCGGCCTTCTGGTTGACGTCCAACGTTGCCGCTTCCGAGTCCACGGGCGCGTCCACGGGCGCGAGCGGCCGTTGCGGCAACTTGAGCGCCCGCCGCCCCATCCCGGCCGCGGCAGTCCCCATTTTGATCGGCGAGCCCACTGTGCCGAAGAACGTGCTCGTGCGCGTGGGCTCGGCCGACGGGTCCACGCACAGCGCGTTCGCGGGCTTCTTGCGGCGCTGGAACGTCATCTTGCGCTGGTTGCCGCGCACTTTGGCGTTCTCCATGGCGTCGTCTCGCGTCTCTCTGGTGGTCGCTCGCTCGAGACGGAATGCTCACTTGACGGGCTCTTGTTCGCCGACAGCGAGAGAGAGGGCAAAGGGGGAGCGAGGAAAGACGCTGACCAATGACCGAGCGGACGGACGGACGGACGGACGACCTTTGGGCACCTGCGGGCAAAGAGAAAAGTGGAGCAATAGGTTTCGAATAACGTTCCGTTAGTTTTCCTCCTCCTCGTAAGTCTCCGTCTTCTTCTTTATGTTTTTCGTTGTCTCTTGGAGTCAGTATGGAAGCCACACGTTTTCTTTGCTCTCTTCCACGTCAAGAGGCAGACTTTGACCCGAGTGGACCGACTACTTCGAAACGGTCTGTTTGACGGGCACCTGCTTGCTCAGCTGTGCAAACTGATTAACCGACCGACCGACGCTTGATTCTCTCCCGCAGCGACACGAAGCCATGTGTTGATTACTCACAAAGAGACGGGATCCTCGTTCGTAAATGGTGTAGCCCGACACGGGTTGATGGACACCAAAGCGCGTGTGTTACTGCGAAGGAGGGAGGAGCCATGGAAACTCACGCAGAGGCAGCCTTTGTTTGTGCTGCCACTCCCACATCTTCGTTCAAGAATACTGCACTGCGCACTCATATCTTTGATGCAGTCTGCTATCTTATCAATTTGCTGCTGATTACACGATAAGGCCGTGATGTGCCTCAAGTGGGATGAACAAACTAATGTTGCTCGGGCCCGTCTTTTGCACGAAAGTCTGCTCTGCCTCTTTAAATGGCGGCGCTCTACGTCTCTGCGCGTGCCCATTTCTATCGTGTTTGGTCTATTTCTATATCCGGCATTCAGTGGTAAGTGACATGGTGGCTGGCACGACTAAAGGGTACTCGACGGCGGGCGAGTTACGCGGTAGGTCACTCACGCACGCTCATGAGTTCTACAGGTACTACCTTTGATAGAGGCAGACAGAGGTTGCGGCGACTGAAGAACTTTCTTAGGGGAGCCAACAAACAGGTCGGACTGTCCCATCGACGACAGATGGGTATGCGATGCTCACGTGCGGCGGCGGCGGCCGTCACGTCGCACCACCAAGAACCACTCGATGAGAAGTCTGACGTAGAGGAGCAACTTGGAGCCAGAGACATGAAGCGACGGCAGCGACGCAGGCGGTCGCTTGATGAGCATATGTGGAAGAGGTAGTGGCCGTCGAAACCGACGGAAGCCTCACGTCTTTTGGCCGACTGACCGATTACACGCCGATGAAGTCAGTAACGCAGTTGGTCAATCGATTGGTCAGTCAGTCAATCAGTCAAACTGTCAGCCTGTCAGCTTGTCAGCCTGTCAGCTTGTCAGCTTGTCAGCTTGTCAGCTTGTCAGCCTGTTAACCTGTCGCCGACCTCTCGGACACTCCCGCGGCCGTAAGAAAAAGTGCCCAAAATAGCTGCAATCAAAGTCCTCGTGATGACGTCAACTTGACGTGGCCGCGAGCCCTCGCGCATCGCGTTTATTTCCAGACAAACCGCCGCCACCCGAGCGACGGAATCGAACAAGGAACCGATTCGAAAGCCAAAGTCCATCCGATCGCCACGTGAGCACGTGCGCGCAAGTCCAGCGGTCGGTCCCCCGCCGGCGGTGCAAAGTCGCGAGTCCGAGACCCACTGGACGGCGGCCGGTCTGCACGAGGTCCAAAAGTGGCTACGCATCACTGGTATACTGAACTACCGCCGACCGACGGCCCGAGCGACGACGGCCCGTGGTCGAACCCACTCGGCCGCGCGTCTCTTGTCGCTGCTGCCTGCGCCTCTTCTTTCCCGCCTCGCGTTCGCTCGTTGTTGCTGCCCCGGGCCTTCTCTGGCCATCGTCGGGTCGACATTGTGTGCGAGATGGAAGTAGTGGATTTGGGCAGTAGTTGGGCCGCGTCCCGAAGCGCAGCCGAGTAAGCACTTTGGCCGTCGGGCGGTCGATTTCTCTCTCTCTCTCTCTCTCTCTCTCTCTCTCTCTCTCTCTCTCTCTCTCTCTCTCTCTCTCTCTCTCTCTCAGTCGGCCAATTATTGCGTCCGAGCATAAGTCGGCTGCCCAGTCAGTCAGTTAGTGGCCGTCCGCCGTAAGTCGCCGCAACGCACTCACTTGACCACTTCGTACCAATTCTTCGCTCGCGCTCTCTCTCTCTCGCTCACGTCCAAAGGGAAACAAACACAGCAGGAAACCAAATATCCGGTTGACCCCACGCCGCTGCGAGAGCTCCGCAATGGCAACAGCGCACGCGCTCTCGGGCGGCGTCCCCCGCGTCTGCTTCACCAAAGAGCGGCGGCGGCGCTTCGAAGCCACGAGCGACGACCTCGTCGAGCGCGCGCTCCGCGTGTACCAGGAGTTCCACCAGAGTCGGCCGCGCGGAGCGCCCGCGAGCGCCGACGAGCGCGCGAGCCACTGGAAACTCGTCAAGCGGAAGAAGTCGCTCAACCTCTACCGCCAGCGGGCCACGGGGCTCCCGGCAAAGTACGACGAGCGCACGTTCCTCTGCAGCGGCGTCATGCCCGGGACCGTCGAGGATATGGTCAGTGGCGCGTACGCAGACGAGACAGAGAACATGCGCATTGCGACGAGCATCATGACGAAAAACATGTGCCTCGACGCGCGCGTCGTGCACGTGTTCGAGCGCGACCCCGTGAGCAGCAGCGTCGTCTTCTCCGGCATCAAGTGGGTGGCGCTCAAGACGCCCAGCAGCGCGTCGCTCATCCACGACCGCGACGTGCTCTTCTACAACCGCCTCGGGCGCATCGTCGACGGCCACGGGCGGTACTTTGTCTACTGCGTCGTGGACTCGGTCGAGCTCGACGAAGTGCCGGCCGATAGTCAGCCCCACCTCAAACGGGGCACGATTTCGCTCTGCTACCTCTTTCGACAGGTGCAAGAGGAGCTCGTGGGCTGCTTTGTCCTTGGCAACTCGTCCATGGGCGGCACGCTCCCGCGCAAAGTCGGCGACCACATCACGGCCGAGCGCATGCTCTCCGTGGGCAACTTCCTCCACGTGGCGCGCGCGAAAGCGTACTCGGCCCGAGCGGCGCAAAGCGCCGACCGCCTGCTGTCCACGAGCACGTCGTGCGACGTGTGCATGAAGAAACCCACTCTGCTCAGCGGGTCGTTCAAGTTTTGCTTGGGCTGTCGCCGCAACACGTGTCGAAAGTGCCACGAGTGGTGCACAGTCTTTCGACTGGACCTGCACTCGCAGAAACCCGGGCGAGAGCGCTTCTGCAGCCAATGCATCTCGGACGTGACGCGCTTGACGAGGTCGAGCTTTTATATTTGCAGCCTCAACGAGTCCGTCAGCACGAGCAATAGCCAGCACCAGAACCCCACGCCGAGCGGCGGCAACACGGGCTACCCCACGTCCACGTCCATGTCCACGTCCAGTGCAAAGCAGCGCAACAGTCCATTGACGTCGTCGCAGTCGCAGGAGTACTCGGAGGTCGACTCGGACGCGTGGATTCCAGCGCCCGCAGACATCTCGGAGAATCTCGATGGCCTCGCGAGTTTCGTCGAGCGCGCGAGTTTGGCCAATGACCTGGACATGCAGTGGAACCAGGACGAGCTCGACTACTACTCGGACGTGTTGCGGGAGTCGGGGCACTTTTCCTCTTCCCAAGTGTTCGACCGCAGCGCTTTTCACAGCAGTCGACGGGTCCAGAGCTCGACAAAAGCCTGTCCCATGAGCAGCTCCCTCCCCGTGCTCAGTCACGACAAATTCAGTGGCAGGATCTCTCGAAGCTGTGCGGCAGACGATAGCGTAGTGCCCCTTCAGAAATGCTTTAGCGTCGACGAACTCGACTGAGTAGACGATGGATGCCCGTCCAAGATACAATACCGGGGGACGGCCAGCCCACTTGCGCGCACAAGTAGCAAACGGACGGCAAATAGACGGAGTGTGCACGTGGAACACGCTCGCAGGATTCGCATCAACTCCAATCACACATATAGCGACTTGATCGTCTTGTATTGATACGCTCTTGTCTCCCCTTCTCCTGCAGCTCAGACGCTACTGGTAATGACGTCGACAATGGCAATTATGATGTTGAACATCTGCGAGTACATGCCGAGTCTCGAAGCGTACGCCATTTGGGTCGACGTGTTGATCAGCAGCGCTTTGGCCTCCGGTTTCCGATCGCTCGCAGTCTCTCGACAGCCTTTCAAGCGCACGTCCCGCAGTCGCTTGCGAAAGCGGTCCTTCACCCAACTCTGAAGGCGCAAGACGACACTGAACCACTCTTCGAACTCGAGTGTCCGGATCGACTTGAGCACGAAGAACGAGCGACGGAGACTCTCTTCTTCGTACGAGATCATCATTCCCATGAGGAAGATAACCGCCACGTAGCCTGCGTATTGCTGGTAATGGGCCGGGGACATGACGCTCGCTGCAATGATGATGCCCAATGCCACTGCAAACGTCGTGTAGGTTGCGTATACGAAGCGCACGCGAAAGCCCGAGCGATGGGCAAACAACACGGCGTTCAGAAAGCCCATGTAGTACACTGGCTTGGGCTGCCCTGGAGTCGTGCCGGGCGTGTTGTCAAATGCGTCGACTTTCGGACCGGTGGATACGGCTAACAAGAGAATGCCCATGCAGCAAACGTGGCAGGCGATCACGAGGGACGAGAACAGCTGCGTCGAGCGCACGTATCCGCCCTTGTGGATGAGCACATCCAACACGCGGTCTTTCGTGGCGTACTTGATCTGTGCGGCTTCCACCACGTGCTTCATGCGAGCTGTGTCCTGCGTCGATCGGGCCGACCCGATCAGGACGTTACTCGAGCTTTCGCGGTTGTCATTCAATGACTTAATGTCGACGTCGACGATCGAACCTCTTGTCAGTGCAGCATTCGTCGCATCGTTCGCTTCCTTGACCCATCGAGCGTAGAACGCTTTGCCCAAAAAGTACATGAACAGCGCTGCGGAGAAGTAGAGCGGCACTGTGACCCCAAAGCGAAGCACTAGCGCATACGTCAAGTCGCTGTCGTCCACGAACTTATCTTTCTTGACCTTGAGGAACTTGATGTCTTGCAACAAGAGCACAAACTGGTTCAGCAACAACGTCCACACGGCGAACCGAATGGTGCGAAACACGCCCTGATGCAGCGATCCCGAGTTCGGGTTCTCGTACGGGAACGGATCAATGAGGTACCAGTAGCGATAGAAACACTCCTCGACTTCGGGGTGGCGGAACTTCAGTGACCAGCGGTGCATGAGCGTTTTCTTGCTAAACTTGTCCGTCTTGATCTCATCCAACGCGTCAGCTCCCATCGTGCCAGAGAATGGCAGCTGCAGACAGAAATTACGACGACGGAGGAGCTCTTGACGGTATTGTGACACCATACCGCCAATGGCTGTGATGCCGTAGTTGATCGCCTGGTACGAAATGTCCGTGAACGAGTCAAAGGTGCTTGGAACGGGCAGCGTGTTGCGGACGCTCATCATGACGATCAAGTAGCTGAAGAAAATGCCCCAGCCAATGCAGCACGACTTGACGAAGCGCATCCTCGTGATGCCAAAGATCGGGATCAACAAAATGAGCAGCGGGATCACGGGGCCTTTGACCTTCTCCACTGGTTTCTTCGCAATCATCATAGCCGCAACAATAACAAACACTGCAGCCGTCACGTTTTCCAAGTTCTTCCGTCCTACGCTCGTGAACGTCGCGAGAATGCCGAGCACCAACGATGGCAACATGACGCCAAACGTCATTGCCATGATGGCCGTTTCATCGCCATCCGAGCGTCCATTTGTGTCCATCTTGGACCACTTGTCATCGCGCCACTCGTTCATGTAGAGGACGACAAGTCCGACAAAACTGATGAGAAAGCAGGCGCGGACTCGGGACACGGACGTGTCCTGTGCAACGGTCAAGTAACTGGTCTCGTAGAACGTCGGGGCGACATTGGAGAAAAAGAGCAGATGGCTCATGTTCGTTTGCTGCTGAACGCGCTGGAACTGCTCCGTGTAGTACGTCTTGGCTTTGATCTGCTTCATGATCTCTACAGACACCAACAACAAGTGACCGAAGACATGCGTTCATCAGACAAACTGAGCCACTCGTCGGGTTGCATGAAGCCAACAGTCTGAACCACTAGTTGCGCACGCAGCACTTACCGTTGAACCCGCCAGTGTACGTCGGCGGCGCGTTGGCGTGCAAGATGCACTCGTTCGCGTCTTTGTCCGTGTACATTTCCGCATTGTGCGAGAGCACGCGGCTCCGAGCGTGACTTTGGCTGTGACTGGCACTGACGCCGCTCTGTTTGCTGCGTGACAAGCGGCTGGTGTGGAAAAGTCGCGGCGCGCTCTGTTTACTCGGACGCGAACTGTTGTCGTCCTCGTCGTTGAACTCGACAAAGGCACACGTTTGCTCGTCCATTGTCCCACTTGCGTAGTGGTGGGCGAATGCCGTGCAGGAGTCTGCTCGCAGTAGTGCAACGACAGAGACGTGAGTGGGTTTCAACGGTTAATGCTGTCGGGTCCATTCAACTGATTAGACCCCACCCAGACATACACATACGCACATAATTATTGACTTTCTACTACCGTACACTATTGAGGCTGACAATGAGGTTGAGGTGGTAGTTGCTGGTAATGAGATTGAGGTCGCGGTAGTGGCTGCTCCGTTCCCTGCAAATGGAGAACTGCGTGTCCTGGATAGGCCCACGAGCTGCAAGTACCGGCGGAGTCCATCCCTCCCCCAATCGCGGGGTCGAAGCTGAACTCGACCGCACGTACCCACCGGCTGTCCAGCCGCTCGCTATTCTACGTCACACGTGCTGCTTCGCCTGCCCGACAAGATGCAAGTGCCCAAGTGATCCAGTAAATGGCCGTCCGGCTGTTGAGGCGGTTCTAGATCGTGACTCGTGCACGCTCAAGGACGCAAACAGGCGCAAGCAGCGAACGTCGCCGTCTTTTGGCCGGAGCGTCGACGGCCGCTTTGTCTCTCGTTCGTGCCGTTGCGTGTGTCCCGGAAGTCTCGCGGTCGCGTCGCGTGAAGACGCGAACGTTCTTCCCTTCTCCCCCTCCTCCTCCTTGCAACGCATCGGAGTGCGCGACGACTGATTGCTATTGCTGTAGAACGGATGAGCTCTCCGATCTTGTGGCCAGTCACGCTGCGACTCGGTCGACTCGTCCGTGTCCCGAGTGACGCTTCGATGGCGCCTCATCTGCCCGTAGGATGGCAGCTGAACTCCTGGGGACAGATGCATAAGTTCAGCGGAAAGGGAACGCGACTGCTTTGTCGACGCCAAAGGCTCTGGTTAGTGATCATCACGCGGGATGCGTACCGAGTCACGACCGGGTGGGTGGGTGGGTGGGGTGGTCAACTAGCGAAAGGAGAGGTGGCGGCACGGCACAGGACAGGAATCTGGTAGCATGTTGACGTACTAGTTTGCATTGAAGCGGTACGACTTGTCTGGTCATTGCAGCTGCTGTGGCCTGGAGGTGACAGTGCAGCAGCAAGTGGCAGTGCGAAGCGAACGTGCTGTTGATTGCAACAGTAGAGCAGGAGCGAATATGCACGCGGTCTGCAGATCTTGCAACTGAATGTGTCCATGAGACTCGACAAAGTGAGTGAGTGGTCGAGATTCGGCCGTACATGTCGTGCTTGTGATCGATCGGCACGAGGGAATTGTCGGCTCATCACGGCACGAGAAGGCTTTGCCCACTCTCAGCAGATTACTTGTACGCGGCGTAGCTCCTGTGCTACGCGCTCGGTCGGAACTGCGATGCAATGCCACTCCACACGCGGACGCACGACAGTGCGTTGCGTAGATACTTGTCACGCACGCAACTTCTGATACTGGACGAGTCTCGAAGCCGTCTGGTACTGTACAAGTCGCGGAGCCGCCGTGGAAAGAGCTGCTACTGTATGGCGCTAAGGCGTTGCGATTGACGCACGCGCTGGTAGTCATTGCCCCTCGACTCTGTGTGACTGTCGACGTGAACGTACAGTATCAGGAACAGGTACTGGGATCGATGTGCTGCAACGCAACAGTGGACGTGGCACAACTGCCAAGTGCGGTTGTGATTCATATACCCCGTCATCCACCGCGCACGTCACGACCTCAGATCGCGCACACGTTGTTCGTGACGGCACAAAAGACAGTGAAGGCAACGAACGACGTCAAAGCCGCGACGGAGGCCCTCGTAAGTGCTGACCGCATCGGGGGCTTTCAGTCCGCCCACTCGTCAGTCTTCATACACTGTGCTGACACTGCGGCCGACTGCTTCGTGTTTTGGCGCATGTCTGCGTGTCACGATCTCGACAGACCGCGCAGAGCAGCAGCTGACTCTATGGCAGAATTCAGGACACTGCCATAGTGGGCTGGAGAGAGTAATGGTCGCATATGGCTCTCTCGTCTACGGTACGGAGAAACACATGCAACAGCCGACAGCAGAACCTGTTGGTTGACTGTTCATCACACAAACGTCTGCGCGACGTCCGTCGTCTTTCTTCTCGAGACGTCGTCGGACCGGATGGCCGTAGGGAAGTAAGCGCCGATCGGTGACCAATCGTTTTTCGCGCGCCGTTTCTCGAGGTTTCTCTTGGACTACAGCGCCATTGTGAACAGATAGGAAGGAATTAGGTCACGCGCTTTGCGCCCCCTCCTCCCCACATTGCGCCATCGAAAAAGATGACGGAAAGGATAAAACTAGGACATTCTAGAACGTCTTTTTTTGAACGTCAAACCAGATTTGGCCGTTTTCGACGACGACTGCCACCATAGAACGTCCGTCGGGCTGTGGCCGATGGTGTGTGGCTGAGGCCAGTGGACTGGGCGCTGTGTGTCCTTGTCGCAGCAACGCACTGCAACCCTTTCTTGTTTTCCCGCGCCGTGTTTTGCTATCTTAGTATCCTAATTTGAGCCATTCCCCGTCGATCACGCCGTGTTTGCCGTAATACACCAATGGTACGGCGTCGCGCGTTGCTGTTTGTTTCGGTTCTCGTCCGAGCGGACACAGATTATTGTCCAATCAATGCCGCTCGTTCTCAGAATCCAGTGTGCTGTTCGTCGAGAGACAAACTGAACGTCGGCGTAATTTGGGCTTTTTGCGACCAGAAAAAGAACGCCACTGTTCTTTTGGGGTCCGCACGTAGAAAGGCCGTCAGTGAGAGAGAGAGAGAGAGAGAGAGAGAGAGAGAGAGAGAGAGAGAGGGGGGGGAGAGAGAGAGAGAGAGAGAGAGAGAGAGAGAGAGAGAGAGGGAGAGAGAGAGAGAGAGAGAGAGAGAGAGAGAGAGAGAGAGAGAGAGAGAGAGAGGGGAAGTGAGAGAGAGAGAGGGGGAAAGAGAGGGGGAGAGAGGGAATTCCAAACGAGAGGGAGAGAAAACGAAAACGTGCCACTGGCTGCGCATTTGTCGTTTTCCCCCGTGGGAGGAAAAGCAGCAGCCAGCGACCGCAAAGTAGCAGCAACGGAACAAGTGGTCGTCGCCCGCGCAGCTACTTTTTCGTTACTTCAGCCCCGTTCTCCCTCGTCTCGTCGTTCCCGCCCCCCCCCGTTCGCCATGCAGCAAGAGCGCGAGAGCGCCGAGTTGTGCCTCAACGGCTGCGGCTTCTTTGGCGCGCCCGGCAGCGGCGGCATGTGCTCCGTCTGCTGGAAAAAGACCATGTCGGACCGCCAGGCCGCGACGGCCCCGAGTACGTCCGTTGCGTCGCCTCGAGCGGCCATGTTGGACCCGACGCTGGCCGCCCCGTCGTCTAGTACCACTGCCAGCAGCAGTTGCGCCGCGGCCGCTTGCGCTGCGCCAATCGACGCGCTAAAGGACGAGATAGCGACAGCGACTGCGACTGCGAACGCCGCGTCGCCGTTGCGGGCAGTACAGAAGAACAAGAAGCGCTGCTGGGAGTGCAAGAAGAAGGTGGGGCTCACGGCGATGGACTGCCGCTGCGGCTACGTGTTCTGCAGCAGCCACCGGTTCGAGGACCAGCACCAGTGCTCGTTCGACTTCCGCTCGGCCGACCGACGGGAACTCGCGCGCCGCAATCCCGGCGGTGGCGTGTTTAGTAAGCTGGAGAAGCTGTGACTTGCCGAGCGGCATATGCGACCTGTCACGTGGCATGCAGACGGCGCGTGGGGACAGCAGACGGCAGTGGAGGTGTAATATTAGGAGACGATTCCGCGCGGCGCCGGCGACAGTAACTTTCAAGAGAGTGTCGGAGGCTCTTGTGCTCTTGTGCTCTTGTGCTCTGCTCGGTCTGTCCGTTCACTTGACTCGTTTGCTGCTGTTTTCTCCATCGCGTCACTCGCTGCGCACGTGGGCGCCGCAACGCACCGACGAACGGGTCGCCAGATGTCGTACAGATGTCGTACAGGTGTTCGGATGGACGTACGGAGAGGGGAACACGGATGAAGGACCGGATCTTGTGCGAGCCACTGGGACGAGACTCTTGTTGGGACATCGCCGGAGCTGCTGGAGTCGCGCGTCGTGGGGTTGTCGGGCGAGTTGCTGCTGGAAATATGCGACGGTTAGTAGTTACCATTCGATGCGAAAAATACGATGATGACGACGGTGAGGGAGCAGCGAGCGAGCAGGAAAATACTACGATCTAGAACGTCGATTTAGACAATTCGTTGACAATTTTGCTGCTTTCTAAACGCTTTCGAAATGAAAAAGGTATTGACTAGATAGACGTCTGCCGCTACTTCACAGGACCTTTACAAACCACTTTTACACTGTTGTCTTTTCGTTGACACCGTCTTGGCCAACAACACCACAACGAAAGCGCGACTTCTGCCGTGTCGCCTTTGGAGTGAGTGGCTGCACGCGACATCCGCACTGTGCAGCCACTTCATTGATCTTTTCTGCACGTCGCATCGCCTCATGCGGCGTGGAAAGTGTTGAAAAAGTATGAAAGTAGTAGCAGATGTAGTGAGAGTACGTCTGGACCGAACGGTGCGACACGAAAAGTCGACTGGGCGCTTTCCGTTCGCGTTGTTGCTCGATTGCTCCAAACGTTCGATCAGTGCAACGTCAGCAGAACAAGTCGCGACTTGTCCAACACTGTCGAGTACGTACTACGACGTTCTTGCGCCACCGCAAACGACGGAGGATGGCGTTCGCGAGCCTTTTCTGACGGCCTCGCCCCTGGCTTGGCATGCAGGAAGTCGGCTGCAAGAACAGGTTGTAGGGGATGCAGAGGTAGTTCGTGTGTCTCCAGAAGAGTATTGGTCCCTCATTGTTCTTCGGTGTGCGTGGAAGCTCAGTCGCCACCGCGTGGTACCCACCGATCACGCTACGGGGAAGGCGTCAGACCTTCGTAGTGGTCAGTATTGGGTCACGGAAACAACACACGTTTGCTTGGCACAGCACACATTCACGTAGCTTGTTCTCGCCACAGCTACTACCGCCAAGAGCAATAGCTCGCCAAGCCTACGAATGCAGCAGTCGATTGCAACATCCGAGGGTTGCTGCCTACACTCGTGCGAAACCCATTTTACGGTACTCGAAGCGCTTCTTTCCTGGGAAATCTGCTGCATTCGGTTCGGTAGCTGCTGCATCTGACGAGTCAGCTTCTTGCCGTAGAATTGTGCTCATGGCATCAAACATCGGCGTTGCAGAAGCCACCGACGAGACGGATGAGTGTGATTCGACATCCAAGAGAGACCAGTCAGTTATCAGGCAGATACCGTTCGTCTTCTTGCTCTCTTGGAACGCAGATATTGCCACTGGTATGGCGCAAAGGTCAACGAAACGATCATCGTCTTAGGGTGCGTTGGCATGACCGCCTGCATTTGCGATACGCTTTGGATTGCTCTACACAGTGACGACTATGTAAGCTGACGCAAATAGACTTGTTGCTTGCTACAATCATAGGCAGATGCATTGTTGTCGTATGTGGTTCACGATGGCGGTATCAGCAACTACACTTGTTGAAGCAGTTTGCAGTAGCACGCGATGTGTAGGAGGCGGAGCATGCTCGCCAACCTCAGTGACCCAATAGGCTCCACTCACGATAGCAGGTTACGCAACATGAGTACTGCCAGAGCTGTTCACATGTCAATCTTGGAACGCAAAGTTCGAGCACGGCATCCCATTTGACACGTCGCCCGCACCGTTTGGCTCTATCATCAAGAAATCATTGATACGTAAGTTGACCCGACTTTGGTCACGCAGCCACGATCAACAGACTAACGACATCAGCTTGTTGGATCCAATAGCTGTATCCTGGTGCCACGAACGAACACACAGTTCGTGTGTATCAAAACGAGAAACAGGAGCAGAAACATTCTCGTAGGTCTTGATGACAATGTTTCTCATGAGACGACCAGGTCGCCAGGCCGCCAGAAACACTTTATCTATTTTCAACATAGCTGCTCCGATGCTCAAAGCTCGTCAAGGGTAGTAGATATGTTCTCGATGTATGCATTCATTGACTTGTCTCTGTTATTGCAGTGTAAACGAAAAAGATTTCGGCTATGGCTGACGATTGTGTCATGAGCGGCAGAAGTACTGGAGTTGAGAGCCTCTACTTGTAGTGATGAGCGGTCAATACGGTGCTTCGACTTGGGCTATCAGTGAGAACGCAGGCACCAGCCGAAAAAGGGTGTGGAATAATGCACATGAGCCATTCTGGAAAATAATTAGACATGTCAATCTCATAAATAAAATAAACTGAAGCAGCAGAAGACGACGATCAGTTCTCGTTAGCAGCGATCGTATATATAAAGCGCTTCGCAAGTTATGTTTGCATGGTATACTTCGTTGTGATGCAAAGTGCGCCTTTGGCATGCAGCCATCAGCGCTCGAGTATGTCAATTAGGCTCATCAATGGCACGTGACAGAAGCAGTGTGCATGGATCAGCGCAGAATGCATCACGATCTTGACAACCAGAAAAAAACTTTGACCGAAGGGCAAAGTAGCAGAGAAGGTATCGTTGCATGAGCAGATCGCGAATCGTGGGTGCTAGCTGTACGCTTCTTGAAGTTGTTTGACCAACTCTCCCGCCTCATTGAGAAGAGCATGAGACTGACACAAGTCTCCATTAACGTGGCCGAGACGATTACACTTCATGCTTTCACTTCACGACAGCGAGAAGTACACAAGACTTGCGTGCATCACATTCGCAACACCAAGTTACCTCATCGTTCGTAGATGCAGCCTCACGGGCCAAAAACTTGGAAGCTGGTAGGTTTGATAAAAAGATAAGTATGTATTGGTGGCGCACCTGTGCGATGGTTGTATGTCTATAGAGTTGTTGCAGTAGAGGGTCGCTTGATGTCGTGCTCAAAACAAGTTCACGCTGAGGACGCGATTGCTAAGTAAGCACATCCAAGCTTTCATCGACAATCCCTCTAGCTCAGTCTTGTCATTTCACGTGTGCAAAGTAAAAGATGTGTTCAGCCTTTTACTTACCAGGGCAAGTCTCAAAACTTGCGCTCGTCCTTAGTGAGCTTACCAATCGTCCAGGTGCGGACAATGTATCGAATAGCAGCAACGGTTAGTGTGGTGCGCCTGCGCTATGGCTCCAGCGTGCGTAAACACTAGGAATTCGGCCAGATTCGTCGTGTTCGCTAGCATCATCGTAGACCTGCCATGCCGGCCTTACGATCGACGCACTCCTACCGACGTTTGTGAACTGCATTCTGCAACACGAAAAGAAAACAATGTGTCGAATTCATTCCAGTCAGTCCGACTCGATCCAATTGTTTCTCGTACGTTGCTCCTGCGTCACAGTCGGGAACACTAGTCTGAAATCGCTTGGTAATCAGCAGGCAACGAGTCCTGCTTATCGCGCAGCTCTCGTAGCTTGCGCGAGTACATGTCCAGCTCCAAGAAACACCAGCGCTTGATCGGCTGTGGAAGTGGACCGTAGATCGACGGAGGCAGCATGATCAATGGGCTGGTCGAGTACTTGTACTCGAGGTACGATGGGTCCAGACCAAAGCGCTCGTCGTAGCGGTCTTCAGCCAATGGCACTCCCGAGAGGAACATGAGCACGAGGAACGTGAACACGGGACTGACGCAACTGGCATAGTAGAACCACGTCTCGTCTTCTCTGCTGTTATAGTTGGCACTGCAGATGATCGTCACGCCCACCCAGCACAAGATCTCACCGAAGTAGTTGGGGTGACGCGAGTACTTCCACACACCAGAGCGCAGCAGTTTGCCCTTGTTCTTGGGATCGTCCAAGAAAGCGGACTTCGCCGTGTCAGCGGCGTACTCGATCATCATCCCGGCGAGCCACACTACAATGCCAATGACGTCTCGAGCGTCACCAAAGTCGTTGCTGTTGTAGATTTCGCTCGAGTTCGCGAGCACCACCGGCACGGAGACGAGAAAGACCCACAAGATCTGGAATATCCAAAAGCCAAAAAATGACGCACAGTTGGCGCGCATCTCATCGAAGCGCTCGTCTTTGCCCCGCTTGAGCACGCGGAGGAGCAAAAAGGAGCCAAGACGTACGGCCCACACCACTTGCATGCAGGTGACGACAATCGCGCGGATATTGAACTCGCTCTGGACGAGTAGGGACATGATCGCGAGCGTGATAAAGTTGAGGGAACCTGCCAAGTCCGTGACCTTGTCGAATTGACACAGGAACGCCACCGCGAAGAAGCTGCACTGCATGACGACCGTCACCCCAAAGCAGATGAGCAGCATGTAGCCACCGGTGAAAGTGGGGTCGTCGTCGTCCATGAGGAATCGCTGGTAGTTGTGGCTGATCCAATTGCGAAGTGCTGTTGTGCAGACATGTTTCGATGTTGGTGTCGATCTGTACTCGATAAAGTGTACAAATGGAAAAATGAAGAGAATCGGATATCTGCTTGAGTATTGATGAATCTGTCCGTGTCTACCCGCTTAGTTATACACCAACCGAAGCCACTGGTTAGCCACACACGCACAATCCACGAAGAAGGAGAACGACGACGAACAATGGAAAGACTGAGCGTGACGAGCGATGCGTTGAACTAACTGAATAGTCTGATCGTCGGACACGTTAGCTGCGTTCGTTCATATCGCTACTGCAATGAGAGAGCATCTGTCGGGTATAAAGTTTGAGCCATCACTCGCCATCATTGGATGACAAGGAAAATAGTGGGTCATCAACGGCCTATAGAAGATAAACATAGCTACACATACGCGATGACGCCACGTTTGGCACGAGCACGGGGTAAGGAAACTCGTCAACTTGAACTTTACTGCGACTCTATTGCTTTGCACCAAGACACGATGACGCACATTGCAGTCTTCGTGCGTCGTCCGCTTCAATACGAGAACAGCAGACGCTTGGGCGTGCTGCGTTTCTTCCCCTCATTGTTTTCATGGAGCAGAACAGTCGAACATACGCGATATGTGATACCGTTTCCATACTTTTGTCTTGGACTCCTTTAGGCACGCGATACGCACAGCGATCGTCCGACTCGAGCCGTTCGAGGCGGTCGTTGGGCCCTCCGACACCACAGAACACATTTTGTTGCATATGTGCAACAGGTGTAAGCGATTCGAGTTGCTCCGTCGAGCAGATCATTGATGATACGCCCGTCACAATCGGCGCCCACGGAAAAGGAGGAGACTAAGGTGTCGCGTAGCATTGCGATATTAGCGGAGCGGCGTGGCGTTAAGACGCTGATCAAACGGTACTTGTGCTGCGAACGCGAGCAAAGCGTTTAGTCGAGGAACGTTTCATTTCGAGAGCTGTCAACGTGTTGTTTGCGATTGCGGCGTCGCCGTGCGAGATCAATCGAACGTGCGTTTGGTGTCAGTGGAAAGTGGCGACTTTGTCGTGCACGCACGAGTTTATCCGACCATAGCGTCGTCGTATGGCATTCTGAAGAGGATTCGTCACGTCAATAGTCTGCCCAACTATGCGAAAAGACTGAAAGAGCGGCATAATCTACGCACGCTATCAATCGACTCAATTCAATTCGATGTAGACCTCATTTTTTTACATAAGAGGATGGACGACGTTCTCGCCGGCTTTGACTCCAGCACTTTCCTGTCGGAAACATTGGAAGAGAAAAAAACGATTTCAATCTGAAAACGCAGTTTGCGATTGATATACGTGCAGGACACTTGCAGAAGCTCAAAGTCCAAGCAAGGCAAACGTCAATATCTTCCGGCGCATTTTTCTTGTTCGTCGAGCTGCCATCTCCAGTCCAAGTGCTACTAAACTTGAGATTCGATAACTCAGCTAGAAATAGTTACACAGATTGTGAGTGGTGCGTGGAAGTTGTGCTGCCCCACAACGGTCAACAATCGGTGCTTGACGTTGTCCCTTGCATGGACGAGGATGGACTGCCAATGGAGGCCCTCTCCTAAGCCTGATAACCCCTTCTTCCGCATTGCTGTATGTCGTAGATGATGAGGTCGTTCTTCGTCGGTGTCGTCGTATGGAGACACCTTCCGTGCCTTCGCTTGTTTAGCTATGAAGTGTACCTCGTCTTACATGCTCTTTCAAATGACATCAAAAGTCGACTGAATAGCGTAACCTGTACATTACTTTGCTACATTGTGGAGAAATACAAAGGAAAGCAACTTTTGTGTCATGCCGTTGATAGATGAACGATAATTGACCTGATGAAAAAATGTCGTGGTTAGATCAAGGACTGCACCGAGCGGCAGTTTGGCAGTAGTAGCGAGATAAGGTGTTTATGATTCAGTAGCGTCGACTGACTGACATGAATTGTCACGGCAGCACATGCATGACACAGAAGCAATGGCAGAGGTCCGAAAAAAACATATTGCCATTTACGTCGATCATATCGTATTCGTGGCCTTTTCGCTTGGTACGATGACTATTGTTAAGAGATTTCTTGACGTACACCACAAAGAAGGCAATGGCAGATCACAACAGTGCAAGTTTTCTGTCCGTAATCGTCAGCGTAAACAAATTTACGAAACGTTCATTCAAATGATTGGGGTGGTGACGATAGATATGACTATATCCATTCAATGCTGGCCAAAGTGCGAATTCCTGCAACGCACTGACTCAAGTTGCCACTAGACCGACTGCGTCGTGACCTGGGCACTACAGCTAAGCTTCTTTCGTCCGGAAATCGATGTTGTGGTTCGAGCGTGACCGTGTTGACAGCCCACATTGTTCATGGCATACATAGCTCAAATCTACGCCCGCTCCAACCAGATCTTACCGATACGACTCCCGCATATGTAGGAGTCCCACGTGGCGTCCAAATTTCCATGGGATGATACGTTGAGACTACGTACAACTACTCATTTCGTTCGGCAAACACACCTTAGAGGAAGACGGTAGCAGCTATTTGTAGTAGCATTATAGCTTTCTCTTATCACTCATGGATCCAAAAAGATAGCATACATACCCGGCGCTGAAGATGCGAACAAAGATACTTAGGGCTGAAGATGCGAACAAAGCTACTTAGGGCTGAAGATGCGAACAAAGCTACTTAGGGCTGAAGATGCTATCCAGTCTTGCTGAGAAAAAGATCGCTATGTGAACATCGAATGACAGAATGTATCGCTAGGTTTGATTCGCCATGACCGCTTACCGCTTTATCAAAACCTCGAACTACGTTGTTGTACTGCGTAAACTGCTATTTTTCCTTCCTGAACCTCCTTTTGTCGTCTGTAGTTGTTCCTGGCTTCCAGTGGTAAATCTTATAGTCTATTCAGGATCGACTTTCTACTGCTTTCCATGATCTAATTTGGATTGCATTAGTCCTTTCGATCACATGACGCTCCCATCATCGCTTGTGGTTTGAGCCACCCAAGTAAATTCGAGAATCCAAAAAAGGTGACTTCCAGCTCTCGTCGGAAGTGTCTGCCCCTAGCCTCACCTGCGATATAGTCAATCACATGCTCTCATCCATCGAAGTTCGCTTGCAGTATCACTTCACCTGCGCTTATGAGAAACTTATCAGCCAAAAGGCCGTTCTGGCGCAAGTTGCGATGAAGAAACGTGCTGGCTCAGACATCCGTAGATGGTTGTGCCTACAGAGCATGTCCAACATAAGATCGGACTCCTAGTAAACGAAGAGCTGCAGAACTTCGGACGGCCATGTGTGACGCGTCTTGCACCATCTGCAATAGGACCTGTGAATGCAGCTGCGACCTTTAGATGACCCTGAGTACCTATTGCAGCTACGCAACATGCACATCCTCACCTCGATAGTGACTCAATACGTAGCAAATCGTTTTACTCGCAAGTAAGCACCTTTGCCTCAAGTGTGCTGCTCATGGAATTGCTTGAGTGCAAATAGCTTACCTTAGGGTGCACTTCTCACGACAGGCAAACTTATCCGTTGTCCATACAGCTACCGTTCAGAAGTTGCATATTCGACGCCACAATGACTCGGTGTCAGTGATCTTTTGTTGCCCGCATGGCTTTACCTTGAGCAAACTCACCACTATCTGACTAAAACTTACAGTCTTTTGTGCTGCACACTTGCAAAAAACCCAGAGACAACGTTGGTATTGTCCGCAGTACTTACTAGCAAGTAAACGTCTACGAAGTGCACCCTGGACAAAAAACTCAGTCTAGACGTCTATGGCTCGAGGCTCAAATGCAGCAGCAGCGAGACGAGGTCCAAAAGATGCACATGGACAAAATCGTTTACGTCTGAACACGATGCAATGGATCGAGTAGGTGTAGTACAGGCACGAACAGTGTTCCCGCGTCACGAATGTACAAGATGCCATTGTCAAGTGTCGCTGTCGACGATAAGGAGGCAGTATAACAGCATCGTGCACAATGGTCGATCCTCCAAATGGTGCAAAAGGCTGCAAGTATCCGATAAATCCATCCACCTACGACACACACACCAACGTACTTCGAAGGAATACGATCTACCTGCAACATGCCCACGACAGCAGTCAGCTCCTTGCGAGACGCAAAGGCATTACAGTGACGTCCACTGCGCCTCTCTCTCTCGCTCTCCCTCTTACTGTTGGGACCAGAACAGGTTATTGCACACAACTCGATCACGTCCGTCAAAATTTCGTGTCCTTCGTACATCGCCACTCAGCCTCCTAGTCGACTCTCCCGATTACCTCTGCCGTCTAAAACTCGACCGAATCTCGTCGAATGTGTGGTGGCGGTGCCACGCCGCCCGCTGGATTAAGGTGCTGCACTGGTGCCGAGGGTACCGGATTGCCGCCATTAACGCCAGGAGATGCCACAGCAGAGGCACCGAATCCACTAGCGGTGCCAAAGTTCTGACCTCCGCCGTAGGAGCGGGTTAAACCATTGCCTGGAGTCAGCCCCACCGGCTGCGACGGGATCGCTCGCCCTGCGACGCGAGGCGACGGCGCTGCAGAGCTGTGCAGGGGCTGTTGATTGTAATAGCTGACTGCATTCATCGACGGGCCCCTGGACGTATCCAGTCCAACCTCCACGCCATTGCCCGCGTCCATACCCTGTGGTCGGTTGCTGCCGTTGTAGCTCGAGTACGCGGCTGATCCCATCGTGCTCTGCGGTCCTTGCACCGCTGCGCCCTTTGCGAAGACGCGCATTGTGCTGGACATGTCGTCCTCGTCCTCGTCATGCGCCGCGTTCGAGCGACGCACGAGCGTCAAAAAGATCACAGCCACCGCAATGACACCGATAGCCGCGCCGATGATGGCAAACACGACGCTCATGTCCGACCCCGAGTTGCTCAGCGTTTCGGCAGACGTTCCACTACTACCTGATGCGCTGGACGGCGGTTCCGTGGGAGCAGACGAGTTCCCAGCAACGCCGTTCGCGTCTGGCGTCGTCTCTGGTGCCGGATCGACAGTGGTCGCCGTCGACGGCCCCGTGGGGTTCGCGTTATTCGCGTTATTCGCATTTGCTGAAGCAACAGCATCAGCCGTATCTTCCGCTTCCTCGTCCGCAGGAGCTGTCGTTTCCGTGTCCGGCGCGTCACTGTCGGCGTTTGCATCGGTCGACGGCGTTTTGTCGCTGTCGCTCGAGGGCGGCGTCTCGCCCGCAGATTCTTCCCAGGCCGACGCGCAGTCGACACCGAACGGACACGCGCCATTGATCTTGACGTAGCAGCCCTGGTCGCTGAACGTGATGCATGGAGGGCAGCCGCCGCTCGCGACAGAGCACGACGTCGACGACACGCCACCTTCGTGACAAGTGGAAACAGCCGAACACTGCGACGTGCTGGCAGCTACGACAGCGGAGCGAGCGTCAACGAGTGGCGTCGCTAACGCTGCTGCTCATAGTCAAGAGGAGGAGAACCAACGGGACAAAGTCAGTCAGTCGACGAGGACGGACACAACGACACAAAGAGAGAGAGAGAGAGCGAACGAGAAACGTACCGACGAGTGCTGCAATGGCGACAAGAAGTCGCGACTGCATCTTGACGTGGAAAGCAAATCGAGTCAGTCTCCGTCGTGTCGCTATTGCTGCGATGAACAGCTCTTGTCGCTATTGCTGCTGCTGCTGCTACTTCTCGAGCTGCTGCTACTTTTGCTGCTGCTGCTGCCGCCGACCGATGTTAGACGTCCAGACGTCAACTGTGTTCCCTGCAACTTCGCGTCGCTTCCTTTCGATGCACTTAAACAAGTGGTACCGCAACAGTCAAAGGTCGGGACAAGTCGCCGCGCGATGACTACCGACGGAAGTGGCGGGCGGCAGTTAGGACACTGGCCCAAAGTCCAGCGCAATGGCCTGCCGCTCAACCCTTGTCGCGCGTCGTGCTGGCTCGAATTCACGCCACTTGATTGGCTACGCGGTGGCTCGTACCACAAATTCGACTTTTTTCCTATGAAAAAGCAAACTCCCCCACCCCTTTGCGCGCAAGTAATGCTGTAGACGCTTTAGTTGCAGGCATTTACCCGTCGCCGCCACGTCTGATGCTACAAAAAGCGGTCAGGCACAAGTGGCAAAAGCGTTGTTGTCCGACCAGGCGGTGCGCTGTTTCCTTTCCGGCTGATTACATTGTGCAATTGCACGTTTGGCTGTAACCCACAAAGCGCTCGGGACGTATCGACTGTATGACCGCACGTATGTACACGACGGGGCACGCGTTGTAGCCACGTCTGAGTGAACCGGTGTTCGAGGGTTTTTGGGGCGTGATAGCCAATGCAGGACCTTCGCGCGAGGAGGTGCTGTGTCTGCATAAACGATGCGAAACTGGCTCGCTGACCCGCAGTAACGGCCAAGAGTCGCAATCCGACAAAACGGATGGCGTGGGGTTCTTCGCCTCTCGACTCGAAGCGGTCGGTACGTACGTAACCTGTTACTTGGACAGTGGCCTTTGAAACGTTCTGTGACCGACTTGGGCCATTGAACGCCACCTTTCGTTGCGTCGGTTCGAGACTTTGGGTGCTCTTTTCCTACACGTTGCAGCGTCTGCTCCCGCTTTCTTCGACCGACTCGCGGATCGACAATGAGAGTAGCCACGAAAAATGGCCGACACGACTCGACGGAGAATTCGTCTTTCGAAGTAGTTGCGCGCGACGCGTTCGTCTGACACGACTTTCGACTTTCCTGGTCCGCGGGGGATAGAGAGAGAGCGAGCGAGCAACTCGGCCGACCACGTGCTCGATAACTGCTGCCTGTTTGCGTGCGACCATCGCGTCCACTCCACCTCTTGACGCATGGCGTGGCTCGCGACTGTCATCGATCGTGTTGACAACCACACGTCCTCGTCGTCTGCGTCACGCACGGCACGCAAAAGCAGCTCGTGCTTGACCGAAATCCACACTGCAACGGCCTTACGCGGTAACTGCCAAGAGCAGCAACGGCCGCTGCTCACTCGCCAAGAAGAACATAACGCTGGCAAAGTCCGCGTCTCCTCATATGTTTTGCCAGCTATTTCTCAGACAATGCCGCCAGGAGGGCCACTCATGTAGTTGTACGCACTCGCGTCTCCGCAGTTGCTCTTGTCCCAACTCGGCTGCACGCCGTCGTCTTGTACGCGTTCGTAGGCCTCTTCGTCTTCCAAGTGCGCAGCAAACAGCGCTGCGCCGACTGCGTTCGTAAAGACAAAGATCGAGCCAATGACTGGAGCCATCTCGAGCAACAGCGCCTGCATCCCGAACGACGAGTACTGGATCTTGTGCTGCTCGACAAATGCTCGCTGCTGTTCGTACGACAAGTGCTTGAACTCAAAGTAGAGGAGATGGTACTCCCAGGCCAAGATCGTGCCGTTCTGCCACGCATAGATGACTGGTCCCGCAAGCGGCACGAGGTTCAGGGGCAGCGTGGCAACCAGCAGCGTCAGGCGTCGCAAGACGCTCACGCGACAGCACGAGCGACAGGACCACGCCCAGCCCGCGTGTTGCGACGTGGTCGTGACGAGGTCCCTGTGGCCTCGCGCGATGAGGACCTGCTCGAAGATCTTGTCCTGATAGTGGCCCATGACGAAGAGTTTGTAGACGAACGTGACGATGAGGATCTCGACCAGCACGAGCATCACGGCCACGAGCCACGCGAGCCACAGTGGAACGCCTGCGTCTCGGAGGCTATGGGCCTGAGGAGAGAGCGCGAGGCCAAAGAGCACGGCAATGGAAGCGATTGCCACGACGAGCGTCGAGAGAAAGGGGCAGAACGCCGTTCGCCAGAGCGCGGGGTGCGAGATGAAGTGCGTCAAGCCCTGGACGACGTACGTGGACATGGCTACACGCGCGTGATCCAGAGGAGATGTGCAGGGAGGAGACTCGATGCTGCAAGAAGGACTTGACGCGAGTGTTGCAAAAAAGACTTGTTTTGTTGCGTGATGGGTCGAGTCAGTAGTGAGGGCAGCGATTGACAATTGACTTTTTAGACGGCTGCGCTTTGCGATATGTACGGGGAGGATCAGAGGAGACGTGGGCCAAAGAGCTTTTTGCAGCATGTCCTGTACGCTGCTGCTGAAAAGTGCTTTTTGCAAGATGCGCTCGGCGCTGTGACTGTCCACGTATGGCCTGTTCAACACAGATAGATCGATAGATAGATCGATAGATAGATCGATAGATAGATCGATAGATAGATAGACTGATGGGTGAATCTATATGTGGGTGGGCGGCGCTGCCACTTTGCTGGCTCGTCTCGTTATGATCGACGATTTGGTCCTTTGCCCATCCGGACTGCTGACAGCGTCGCCAGCACAGACTATTTCCCCTCAAGCTCGAGAAGCCAACACACAAAAGTGCAGCATCTTTGCTTCACCTTTTCTCCTCTCGCGCCTCCCAATCTCCGCTCTATTTGGCCCCCCGGACCACAAATAGCGCCGCTCTATTTATTTCCCCAATGTCGACGTATCCGCTACGTGGCCTCCTCTTCTTCTTGCGGGACCGCCACCTCTGGCGCCTGACCGTCTACCCAGTGCTCCTGACCGCAGCCGTCGCGCTCGGCGTCGCCGTGACGCTCTTCACCTTCACGCTCGACTGGCAGGTCGCCAAGTTGCACGCGCTCGGCCTCTCGGGCGCCTTCGCGTGGCCCGTCGCAGTGCTCTTTGTCCTCCTCGAAGTGTTTCTCCTCACGGTCGTCTACGGCCTCGTGGCGCTCGAGTGGTTCAAGGACAAAATCTTCGCGCACGTCTTGAGCGCCTGTGGCTATCGGGAGCTCGTGGAGAACGAGGAGCGCCACTCGCCGTTCCTCCGCGTGCTGACGTCGTGCTGCCGCGTGAGTGTGCTCCTGCGACTGGGGCTGCTGGTAGTCACGTTGCCGCTGAACATGGTGCCCGTGCTGGGCAACCTCACGTACGCGTGGCTCAACGGCACGCTGCTGGCCTGGGAGGCGCACCTGTACTACTTTGAGATGAAGGCGCTGGACTTTGACGCGCAGAAAGCCATCATCGCGCAGCGCAAAATTCAGTACTCGGCGTTCGGCATGCAAGCGATGCTGCTGGAAATGATTCCGATTGCAGGTGCGCTCTTTATGTTTACGAACGCGGCCGGTGCGGCGCTGTTTGCGGCGAGGATCGAGAAGGACTCGCGGAAACAGGCGCGTCGTGACGGCAGCAAGGGGATCAAAGGCGGTGACGACACGGCAGCTGAGAAGGCGAAGAAACAGGCGAAGGGTCGCGTGGAGACGCACGAGATGGACAAAGTGCCGCTGGTCAGCAAACTGGGCGCATACGTGCCGCCGTACGGCACAACGACAAAGTAATGGGACAAGAGACCGATTTGAATTCGGTGGGGTGGGGTGAAGAAGCTGAGCTCGTTCAGGCGAAGACTTGGCTGTGGGGGCCGACCGCAACGTCGACGCTACGTCAGCATGAATCGAGAAGATGGTCAACATGGTCCGTATCCTGACTGCAACTGTGCAAGGCGCACGCTGTTCACGAAGCTGTATAGGACCGTCACGAGTCGTCGTCAATTTGGTATGGTATACTGTCGCACATTGGTAAGCGCTTTGTTTGCTTCTGATGCAACTGTACCACACGAACGTGTGTGTATCATTCACATTTGATTGACAAGGACGAGGCAGCGTCATTGACACTGTTAGTCATAGGTTGACGTGGGCAAATAAAGATCCAGCTGCTATTGTGCGACCCGGCACAGGACGCGGCTGGTGTCGCATCGGGTACACTTTTCGACACCAGCTACGTCCTGTGCCCTGCAGACTTCGGTAAAGTCAGGTGCGAGTGGCTGCACTGTCTCACGTGTCGAACGAGACAAAGAGCGTTGATACACGCGCGCATTTGTCTCGTGACGACTCGATCGAGTATGGCGCCACGTGCAGTGTACAGTAAACAGTGTGCATCGACCGTTGCATTAGTATACACGTGCATTGGCTCTGTCTTCGATCGAGAGACGTCGACCGCTCGCTCAGCTGACAGATCGAGTGGCCTACTCCTGGTCCATCTGGCCGTAGAGTGAGTGGCCTTGGCGCCATGTAAAAACGCCGGGAAAGCTGCAACCGTCATCTGGACGTTTCTTGCCTGCGTGTGGGCGTTATGGCTGAGAAGCGCTTCTCACTGACGCCGTCTCAAGTCTACGGTACGACTTTCCTCCTGTTTGGCTTGCAGTTATGCAGTCGTTTGCGAGGAAAAGGCAGTGTCTAGAAACGGGCGGCGCCGCTGGAATTTTGTCACGATTTTTACACCCGACTGCTCGATCCATTTACGTGCGAAGGGCTCTATCGACAACGCGTGATGGAACTTGACCGCTACATGGTACGGCATCAGATCCCGTTCTGAGTTGACAATCTCGACCCTTCACACGGATGGTCGGCTGATTTGCACTGGCCAATCAGAAGCGAGCAAAGAGTGTACCCCCCGTCAGAAATAGTCCATCTGATACAGCTCTATTTTTGACCTCCACATCCGCAGCGAATCCAGGCGGTGGCGTTTCAGCGCAACACGCGCCGCGGCGTCTATCCATTACAGCCTCGCAGTGTCTCAGGCAGCAGCCAATGTCGCCGACGGCCCGCTGACAAAATCCAGTCCAGTCCGAACCAGAGTATGCACTTTTCACGTGTGACACGTCGCGGACTCGATTCTGGCGCCTCGCCTCGCGCGCTCGGATTGGCTGGTCGAGTTTCCGCCAATCATGGCGACTCCTCGCGTGGCAGCTGCTCTCGTCCGTCCAGAAGCATACTGCACTCAAGAGACTTTCGAACCACGAGGGGACTTGAAGCGGCCGGACCACCGCACTGGCAGTTTGGAATTCCCCTCGATCCTCCGAAGCACAAGTGAAGATGGCGATTACCTGCGGAGACATTCCCCGTCTGATTTGCTCGGTCATCATCCCGCCTGTGGGCGTGTTCTTCCAAGTCGGCTGCACGAAAGACTTGGCCATTAACTGCCTGCTCACGCTCCTCGGGTACGACACGTACTACTGCCTCGTGGATTGCTTTTCTCGTCCCTGTCGCTCCGGCCGTGTCGCTCATCTGATTGGTTGTTTTGCCTGTTTTCCAACTAGTTATATTCCTGGCGTCATCCACGCGGTGTATATTTTGATCAAGGAATAGGGGACAGCACCCGATGCGACAAGCAGGTTGTATCCATGTGTGGACGCGAAACAAGGCGATCAAGTTTGAGAAGCCGCGGAGGCGGGTGGGAGAGGTCGCATTGACTTGAACAGACGGACGTGTCTCCCTCTTGTTACTGATACGATATCACAAGAGGGGGTGAGAGGCGGTCTCTAACCGTCGGACGAAGCGTCGCGCTGGTTGAGGATACTCACAGTAGTCGCTGCGCTTTGCGTAGACTTCAAGTTAATACATTTGATTGACAAAACGTGACTTGTTCGCATTGCATTTCGTCTTGAGCCAGTTGGGTCGTCAGCCAGTTGACGTGGGATCGACTCCACTAGGAGAGCGACCGAGAGACGACCGCTCAGTTGCAAGTTGCAGTGCTACAACGCTCCCGTCGCTCGGGCACAATGGGGCACACTGTGGACGAAGTCGACCGCTGGTTCGAGGGCGACGAAGGACGTTCGTCCTCGAGCGCGTCGGACTTTGACTGGGATAAGACTGCGCGCCTGATATGTGCCGTGCTGCTGCCCCCTCTCGGCGTGTTCCTCGAAACGGGCTGCAATAAGGATCTCGCCATAAACGGACTCTTGACGCTCTTTGGGTACATTTGTTCATGGCACTTGCAACAACAACTTGACATGTGGAGATCGAGAGCCAAAGCGCTCGCATCGACTGACAGAACGTGCGTACCACAATTGCTGTGACATGTAGCTACATTCCGGGCATCATCCATGCGGTTTACGTGATCTGCGTGAGCTAAGGACCACGCGGTGCAAACAACGCGCACTGGCAGCAACGACGCGAGCGGCACTGAACACGGCACGAAACGGTTTGATCCGATCCGATATGACCCCATCCAGACACTTGAGTTGGCACCACGCGAAGACGAGTCCAGCAATGCCACTGCCAATGCCACGTTCAAAACCCGCAGCGACACGTCGCGAGTTTTCTCTTGACTTCAATGAGGTGCAGCTCAGCGCGCCGAGCGATCTCGTCCCACATCGTCGGGAGGTTCGCAATCGATGCCACGGCATACACAGCGTCTCCTTCGCTGTCTTCGTCCGGCCGCAGCTTTGCGCCGTAGAGCAGCAGCGCTCCGCCTCCCGAGGCGTTCACGTCGCGCACGAGCTGCAGCGTCACCTCGTTCATGTCCACGTGGTGGTGATGCCGCAGCATCGCACTGTCCACTGTCGACGGCGGACACGTCAAGCGGAACGCGACGACAGTGGGCCGCTCCGGCACCAGCAGCGTGTCGAAGCGGGCGTCGGCCTGGAGCTCTGCCAGCCACTGCGCTCGAATCTGCGCGGCCGCACTGTCCATTTCCACGTCCACGGGCCGAGTCAGACACGTCTCGAGCTGCTCGAGCGCTCGCTCCTTGTCAAAGCGCTCACTGGCGCTACTGCTGCTACTGCTGCTGCAGCCGATCACGACGAACTGCGTCTTGGGCGGCGACTGCCACTCGCCGGCGTTCACGACGTCCAGTCGCTGCTTCCCGCTGAGCTGCACCACGAACCGGTAGTGCGGCAGCTCGGCAATGTGCAACACGCCCTTGGCCCGCAGCAGTCCCTTTGGCCGGTGCTGTGGCTCGAGCCACTTGTGCACTGCCGCGAGCGCAATGGGCGTCGCGCGCTCCAAGACGACCGACTCGAACTGCGTCTGTGCCTCTGCCTCTGCAGCTTCTTCGAGTCGCCCGTCTGCTCTTGCGGCCGTATCTGCAGTGCGCCGCGCGCCGCGTGTCTTGACGTGCCACTGCGCGGGCACAGCCTCGTGGCTCACACTGCCAGTGGCGGCCGCGTCCGGTGCGCTAATGTCGAGAACGTGGGGCAGGAACACGCGCGCGTATGCGGTCTCGTGCACTGCCGCGCGCGGGGCGTAGCGCGCTACAACGGCGCGGGCCGCGCGGAGCCGCGCGCGACTGAGCAGATCCACTTTGTTGAGCAGGACGACGTCGGCGCTCTCGAGCTGGTGGCGGGCCACGGCACAGGGCGCGAGGCCCTCGGCGGCGTCCTGCGCCACGGCGTCGCCGTCCACGACCACAACGACAGAGTCCAACCGCGCGCGCGTCATGCGGCCGAAGTTCTGGCGCACGGCGGCGATCAGCTGCGTCGGGTCCGTCGTGCCGCTGGTCTCCATCACGAGGCAGTCGACATCGGCGTCGATTAGGCCATTATTGCCATTACTAGCGTCGAGATTGCCATTCTTGGCGTCGATTGGGCCATTATTGCCATGATTGGCGTCGATGTTGCCATTATTGCCATGATTGTCCATCTTGCCAGTTTTGGCGTGATTGTTGCCATTATTGCCATGATTGTCCATCTTGCCAGTTTTGGCGTGATTGTTGCCATTATTGGTGGTCGGCCGGTGGGTGTCCTTGTTCAAGAGGTGCCACACGACGTCTTGGAACGCGTTTACCGTGGTCGTACCGGTATCCGCCGACAGCTGGAACAGTTGGTTGCACCCGGCGGCCTGATTATTAGCCACTAAGAGCGCGTCAATGTTCACGGCCGCCAAGTCGCTCACGGCGCAGGCGACGCGGAGGTTCAACTTGTGCTGCAGAATGTGCTGCAGCAGCGACGTTTTGCCGGCGCCGAGGAAACCCGTGACGATCGTGACGGGCAGCACGCGGCGGCGGTCGTTGCGCGCGAGCAGCTGACGTTCGGCACGGAGGCAGAGGTTCACGCGGGTCGCCGCCAGCTCAAGGTCGGCGGTAGTGGCCATGACGACGCGATCGGATTGGCTCGAAAGCGCTTGTCACGATGATAAAAAACCGTTTCAAACGTTTGATTGGGATGTAGAGCAAGTTGAAGCAATAGCGAGCGAGAGAGAATTGCGTCGCGTCGCACGTGACCGCCTCCGCGCGTTGTCCTTTAGTTGTCTCAATGCCTAACGGGCACTAAGCAGCAGCTCGAGCCATTGTGCGTTTCTCCGTCTCGACCTCCTTGGGCGCCCATCTCGTGGCTGTCAAGCGAACGACTCATGGCGATCACGTGGGGCGACTGTCCGCGTCTCATCTGCTCACTTCTCCTGCCGCCGCTCGGCGTGTTCTTCCAAGTCGGCTGCAACAAGGACTTTGCCATCAACTGTCTGCTCACGTTGCTCGGGTACGTGCTGTCATGTCCAACTAATTGTGGAAGGAAAACGTGGTGGGTCGGCCGCTGCTTACCACGTGTGCTGCGGCGATAGGTACATTCCAGGCATGATTCACGCCGTGTACATTATCGTCAAGGAGTAGCGACGACGGACCATCTGCGGCCACTGTGTCTCGAAGGGGCTCTGGACTTGTAGCCGGAGGCTCATGAGTAAGCAGCACGTAAGTCGTTTTGCTCGACAATGAGAAAGAAAGAAAAAGAGCAGTCGACTGACTTCTGGTCGAGTTCCTTGTCACGTTGGCGATCTTTCCATTGTTCGCTGTCGTTCTCCCTTCATTTCGGATTGTGGTGTACCCAACTAACTGCCACTTGATTACGTCAATCGATACGAATCCATACATCGATCGAAAGATACGCCGATAGATACCGGTCAGATAGCCATCGATCCGAATGTATACTTACTCGAGTAGAGATCGACATCGACATTGAGGCATCTCCAACCAAACGCCATTTCGCAATTGGATCCGCGACAGCTACCAGCGATCCCTCATGGACGGCGACCCTTCTGTTTCCGTTGGCTACTTGCTGCTCATCTGCTTTGGGGTGACGGTTGTTATGCAGTGCAGTTTCTTTGCGGTGGCGTTCCTATGTCAATTCGACAAGGTCACGGACTTGGCAGGTTCCCTCAACTTTATCACGCTCGCGATCATGTCCCTACTGGTCCAGAGCGAGTACAATACCCGCGCGGTTGTCGTCACCTGCATGCAAGTGGCGTGGGCCGTACGTCTTGGCTCCTTTTTGCTCCTTCGCGTGCTCAAGCGGGGCAAAGACGAGCGCTTCGATGAGATGCGCGCCAACTGTGCCGAGTTTTTTGGCTTTTGGATATTCCAGATCTTGTGGGTCTTTCTCGTGTCCGTGCCGGTGGTGCTCGCGAACTCGAGCGAAATCTACAACAGCAACGACTTTGGTGACGCCCGAGACGTCATTGGTATTGCAGTGTGGCTCGCCGGGATGGTGATCGAGTACGCCGCTGACACGGCGAAGTCCGCTTTCCTGGACGATCCCAAGAACAAGGGCAAACTGCTGCGCGTTGGTGTGTGGAAGTACTCGCGTCACCCCAACTACTTCGGTGAGATCTTGTGCTGGGTGGGCGTGACGATCATCTGCAGTGCCAACTTTGACAGCACCGAAGACCAGAAGTGGTTCAACTACGTCAGTTGCGTCAGTCCCGTGTTCACGTTCCTCGTGCTCATGTTCCTCTCGGGAGTGCCATTGGCTGAAGATCGCCACGACAAGCGGTACGGCTTGAGCTCAACGTACCTCGAGTACAAGCACTCGACCAGCCCATTGATCATGCTGCCTCCGTCGATCTACGGTCCACTTCCACAGCCGATCAAGCGCTGGTGTTTCTTGGAGCTGGACATGTACTCGCGCAAGCTACGAGAGCTGCGCGATAAGCATGACTCGTCGCCTGCTGATTACCAAACTATGTCAAAGTAGCATGCCGACTGTGACGCAGGATCAACGTACGAGAAACATCTTGATCGGGTCATAATGACTGGAATAATGCAGACACGTTCTTCTTTCTTTTCCTGTTGCAGTATGCAGTTTACGAACGTCGGCACGAGCGCGTCGATCGTAAGGCTGGTATGGCAGGTCTACGATGATGCTAGCGAACCCGACAAATCTGGCTATACTCCTAGTGTTTACGCACGCTGAAGCCATAGCGCAGGCGCACTACACTAACCGTTGCTGCTATTCGATACATTGTTGGCACCGAGACGTTTAGTGTAGTAAGTATCCTACATTCGTCCTTAGTAAGTACACTAAGGACGAATGTAGGTCACGAGCGTTGAAAGGTAAGAAAAGGCCGAACACATCTTCTACTTTGCACACGCAAAATGGCCACCTCAGGCTAGAGGAATTGTCAATGAATGCTCGGGTGTGCTTACTAAACAATAACATCCTCAGCATAAACTTGTTACGACCAGTTATCAAGCGACCCTCGGGTGCAGCAACTTTTTAGACGTGCTACTACCATCGCATAGGTGATCCGCCAATACAAAAACATGTTGCTATCGCACCTGCCAGCTTTCAAGTTTTTGGCGGTGAGGCTGCAGCTAGAAGATGTTAGGTGGCTAGGTGGTGCGAATGTGATGCATTCACGCCTCGTGTATTTCTCGCTGTCGTGAAGTGAAAGCACGTAGTATAATCGTCTCGGCCACGTCAGATAATTTCTTTCGATCTCTTGCTCCTCACAATAGGTCAGGAGACTTGGCCAAACGACTTTGAAAAGCACATCAGCCAGCATCCTCGATTCGTGGTCCGGTTACACATCAATACTCTCCTTTACTGAGCCGCAGTTCACATCCTCATTATCTGAGCGCGCCGCTGCATGTGCAAACTGGCTTCGCTAACATTTGAGTTTGTACACGATAGACAGACATCGGTGACATTCTTGTCGTGTGACTGTCGTGGAACACAAGTCACTGGAATTGCGCTTTACAGGAAGTAAGCGTTCGAGTAGATGTCCAGTTTCACACAAATTGATGGCAGAACGCGCAGATTTTGCCAAGCACATCGTTTCTTCATTACCATTGCAGCTTGAGAATTTTGGTTGAGCCGTACGAGACACTTGTAGCGGTTATGTGGGCGCTCATTTGTTTTCTGCTGTGGCTATCGATTGCTGAGGAGGTGAGTAGCGTTCATTTTGCTTTTTAAGGATAAAACCCCCGATCTTTGCCCGAATCACTATAGCAGCAACGGCATACACGCAGATGGCGAACAAAGACCCAAAGCTAAGGCAGTGCCTACACAAGTGTAGCAAGCAGCCTTTATTGGCTCAGTGCCGCATTGCCTGTAGGTATACGATACACAAAATCCTCGTAACAGCGACAACTTTGTCTTTACGTTAAAGTTCGTGATATACCCTACAAAACATCAATACAATGACACAATTTATTGCGAGAACGGATTCAAGAAAGCCGACGGGACGTTGCGTCCAGCCAGCGCTGCCTTCTTCTTCGTGCCGATCTTCACTCCTCCACTAAATTCAAACCCTCCCTTCGTTGTACCTGCACTTTTTCCGCTGTCACTTTTCACCGCCACGACAGATCCTTCAGTTTTGGCCGTATCTGCTCGCGCTGCCTGAGTTTGTGCAGCTATCCGTCGCTGCAACAGCAACCGTTCCTTCACTTGCGCCTTCTCGTGCTTGACATTTTGCGCTTCCTCGGACCCCGGCCGTCGTTTCTGCTGCTGCTGCAACTCCTTCAGTCTCTTTGTGTGGTGGTGATCGTACGAACTCAGATGGTTTTCCATCTCTGTCACCGACTTGTACTGTTTCCGGCAGTCGGAGCAGTAAAAAGCTGCCTGCATATTCTTGACTTGTGCTTTTACCCGTTGCTCTTGTGCACTTTTTGACTCGCGAATGGCGATTTGCTCAGCCGTTTCCAGCACTTCCGAGTCCAATTTGCGACGCTCACTTGTTGCCAATTGCGTCACGTGGTCGTACTCTTCCTGTGGCAAGTAAAACAGGAACATGAGTTACCTACCGACGATCCCAAAATGTTTCCGACAAATGGGACCAAAAGTGAACGAACTGAACAACTTCTTACCGACTTTCCGAGCCCCAGACACACCAAGTTTTCCTTCATTTTTACGGGCTCGACGATGCCTGCGTACCCAACATATAAAAATAAAGAGCGAAGTTATTTATTTACAGACCCTCCATATATGCGTACCGCAGGACACGTAGAGCGACTAGCCTTGCTCGTGCTTGCCCAGTCCAGATCCCGTGCGCCAACCCAACTTGAGAAGCAGACGATAGCCGCGGTTGGACGTGTCCAGCGCGTGCTCGGCCTCCGAAGCAACAGACATGCTCTCGGTAATTTATAAATATGGTCGAGGTAAAAGAAACTATGATTTTGTAACTCGGTTACGTTGTGAATTTGAAAAAAATTACATTGTATTATATTACTTGCATGGGTGGGAAAATAAGATAGATTCGGGCACTCATGCATTTGTAGGGACGCGCACTTGTATGCACTTCATTCCTTAACTACTTTCTGCACGTAAACGAGGTGCACACATTTTGTATTGCGTATCGAGCACAAAACAAGGTCATGATAACTTGCTCGTTCCAACGCGTCGTCAGTCGCGGGCGCAGGGGGTGAGCCCGTTACATAAAAATAGATATCTTTGCATCAATTTTCGAACATAATCTATTTAGATCGTGTTCAATGGACATTACCCGTAAGGAGTAAGGTAGAAGGAATATTACCCCCGAGGGTAATTTCTCATTGATGGATTGCTCCACCTGATGGTTGATGTTCACGGTACATCAAACAGATTAACCACCAATCGCTGCTGGACGCGCGCAATGGGTGGTGAGCAAGAAACCCACATTTAAAATTGTAGTTTAATATAGTTAACTCAAGACGAAAAATGATTTATTGAGAAACAAAAATATATTCATTACAACAGTATTGAACTCAATTGACCAGCCGTGCGAATCCCGCAAACTTTGTTCGTTTCGTTTCGTAATGTCCGAGTCGAAAGTCGACCACCTAATGAGCCGCATATTTTTGAAACGGCGTAGCCAAACCTACGGCAGATTCCTTTTTCAATACCAGCAGCTCGACGTCGGAGTGGCAGCGGGTCGCCCGTTACGCGCCGGACCACTTACTCTGGCTTGTCAAGCGTTTTACGTTCCCTAATGAGCCACTTCAGATCCTTGCCCCGTCCGTTTTCGTCCAGTGGATGGCCGAGAGTTGGCGAAGCTTTTTGGAAGATGGGCTGCGGCGGTATCGATAGCAACCCCTAAGTCAGCCGCCGCAAATTTGTAACGGGGTGGGCCTGTTACGTAATAATATCATTTGTGACAATAAAATAATGGAGCCGCTAATTAGCCATCACCTTCTTGCTAATTGGCCCTCAGTCCCAATTTTTTTTCGAAATCTGTTTGGTCGAAGTGTAAAATGGGAACATCTCATTGAAATTACCTAAACTTTTATACGTCACAAAGAGACTCTTGCGCTTCTTATAATTAAGTTGATCGAAATGGTGTTGAGCTGTTATCGCCATGTTGCTGCTGCTAGGACGTTCTACAAGCCTGTGGTACCGGTGACTAATCGATTGGATTTTGTGTGGTGTTTAATGCTTTGGCAGTGTGTATGCTCATGATCACGAAAGAGTTTCAGTGCCTGATGGCATCTGCGGGGATTCCCTTGAATATCGTATATCGCACTTTGCAGGTAAATCTCATGCGAAGAATTGAAGGTCACTGCTGCAACAGAACATTGACGAGAAGCCACTAATAGTGCGTACCAACTATTGCAGATTATGGTCAAGTTTGAACAGGGCCCCACGGGACAGTTGGCGCTCATCATGTTGGCCCTGAAACTTGGTTGGATCAATTGCGCACTTGTTCACCACAATGCAGGAGACGGGCGACCCAGTGCAGGCTGCAAGTGTCGATGTGGGTATTTTGCTGAACGGAACGCTGGTTTTGCATGTTTTTTGTTTTTATGAGCTATGAACAAGGTGCTTGGCTACGCATAGAAGAAGAAGGAGGTGTAGCAGCAACCCAGCTCAAATGCCACTGCTTTAATTATATCTTTTGTACCAAATCGTGTTGCTGGCAAGCAAATCATATTCAATTCCGTTAACAATTGGGCAGTAGATAGCCACGTATTGTCCTCATGTGATAACCTTATTCCGTAGACCATGTTGCTGTTTTACGTCTTAAACCTTATAATCCAGTGCGTCTGAGCCTTTATTGTTGCTGCTGGTGCTGTAGTTGCTGATGGTGGTGCTGCTGGTGTTCGAGTAGCTGTTTCTTGTGCTTGACGACAACAGTTTCGGGCATTGCGACCTATTTGCTGGCAAGTCCGACATCGCCGGCGTCGCACAGGAGCTTCTAACGCACCTGCAGCATGCTCGAACTGCGATAGGGGCAATGAGCAAGAAGTTGATGGCTAAATAGCGGTTATCTAAAGAAAAAGGTCTTCTTCTTATCGATGTCCCAGTTCTACGGCAAAAGAGACGTCCCAAATATTTGAGCCAATTAGATTTCGAAAAATTTGGGACTGAGGGGCAATTAGCAAGAAGGTGATGGCTAGATAGGGATCTCCTATAATAATGGAGGATATTAAACATAATATTCTCACTACATTATCACCAAGTTCATCGATATTGTTGCAGTGACCCAAATGTATACCTATTGGTTGGTATACCACTATATCAACCCACCAATTGCTGCTAGATGCGCGCGATGGGTGATAAGTATACTTCACCATACATTCTTCGGTAACAATAGAGTTAAGTTAGGACTGATAGGACAAGACACATTTTGGGTCTTTAACATTAACTAATAAACTTTTTCTTTTCTCTTGCTAAGCTTAGTTGTCTAGTACTAAGTCTTTCTCTGGGCGCGTACAGTGTACGCAACCTAACAAGGGCACTGGTTCTTACTGCATTCAGTGAGATCTTGCTACGCACTGCTGTCAGTGCGTAGCTTTCAGTGCCTTGTTACAAAATTTGGCTCGAATAGTAGATTGGTAACACGCAGCTATGGGAAAGCGGGTCGAAGAATGGTGTAAATGATGTGCTGAAGAGGGATACCCTGGAACCCGGACTAGGTACGAAGTTCGGATGGGTGTATCACGACAATCAGGTCCGATCTGGGAGCAGATTTGATCCGAGAGGAGATCCGATATAAAAAGGAGAATCGATCCAAGAGGGATCCGATCTGAGATGGATCCGCACGAGATCAGATCCTGATCTGAGTCAGAGGTAGGGGATAGACCAAGGAGCTTACATTAGTCAGGATACATAGTTATTTATTAGACTACGCGTGGCAAGTGCCTTCTGCATCGATAAGCTAGGTCGTAGGTTTTGTGAGATGGTTGGCCAACATTAGACAGAGTTCAATTCTCTTCAAAAGACACGCTTCGTCTCTTCCGGTATGGATCTTTGGTCTCCCGACGAAATCAAGAGTTACGCCTCTCGTCTATACAAGTGTCGCACCTGGATTGTTGGCCAGGTGCGTACAAGACTCTCACAACATCATGACAACTGCGATAGGACGCAGAAAAAAAGCAAGGGTGATCAAGATCTCGAGACGGCTCAAGTGGTCAGACGATCAAGCGGATAAAGATCTACATATTGGACAGTGCGATCTCATTGATATCTAGGTAGCTCACATCGATTACCTACATGTAACCTGTGATTGATTGAATACTTCCACGCGATCACCTCAGCCCCAAACACGGTCAAGTTTAGCATAAACACGAGTCCACCAAGAAGGGTGGAGCCTGCCTACTGACGATTACACATGGTGAGGAAGGAATCAAGCACCGAAACAAAGTACCACCTCCGGCAGTCGGTCCTTTAGGCGCCAGTGGGGAGTCGGGATCACGTCAGCAATTTTTCGAACCCCGCTCCACCACAAATGCATAAGAATTGTTATGGGCAAATTGCGTGTAGAGACTGATCTTGCAAATGAAGCTTGATAAATTTTCAAGAAATTTCATATTGGAAAGCGGCAATTGTGTTTCGCTAACTTTCTGTACAGCTAACACCGACCAACCATGTCGTTACCAGTTATTGTCGTTGGTGTGAATCAAACGTGCCAGACATAGACCGACCCGTGCTCAAAAGTCACCCACCTAGCTTTGTGCAATCGCATTAACCTTTACGACTGAGTATTAACCAAACCTGTGACAGAACTGTAATTAATATAGTTAACTTGGCTATATAGACCCCTTTGTCTTTTACTAAGGCCATACCAGATTACAAACTGAAAATGGAGGAAATCGCTCACCACCCACTGCTTGCGTCTAGATGCGATGGTGGAGGTGGAGTCGGTAATTATATCGGCTTTTTTCGATCAAGAAGTGGAGCAGTGCTGAATGTTACCTTCTAGGGATACCTCTCATAAACATTACTCAAATAAGGTACTAATAGAAAAATATTATTAATCATGACGAATTCAGATTGACATAACTTGGTGTCAATAACATGTATAGGGCTCATTCTGTTACACAACCGAACACTTTGCTTCCCAATATACGTGCGCATGTGATTCGCCATTACGTGAATAGCCTGTTTTCGTAAAACAGGGATTCGCAAACCAGAGACCGTGTGGCTCAGCGAGGACAAAAGCTATAAAACTTTGTTGGCTGAGACCTTCTCTCGAGAAGTATGAGATTTAGTTCAAGTAACACACGACGCGTAAGTACCCACAATGTGCTGAAAAATCAATATAAGCACAAAGTCGTGCGATTGCACGCACCAGTATGGCTAATGCTGAGTTTTACGCGAACGCACTCACTAGCACCATGATAATTTGGAGAGTCGGCAGTGCATGTGTATCGAGCGTCGAATTAACAGGACAGTGTATGTATATCAAGCGTCGAATTGATGCGCTGCAGTCTGGGCGCGTGTCGAGAAATAACTACGACATAGCCACTTGGCAAAAACGAAGAAAACGAAATCGATTGTGCCACAGTCGATGTCATGTTATGTCATGAATGCTAGCTTATGTGACATCTCGAGCATGGTGATGTCGTATACAGATCGTGGACTGTGACCTATGTATTGCAATTTCCAAAATGGAGAGGTATGATGGTGATACCAGAGAATGCATCCGTCGTTTGCAGCTCATCATACCAACTTTTCCGAACTAGCCTTTCCGAGCTCCAAGATCTCTGACATGGTTATTTGCAAGGTCCTGTAAAACTTTGTAGCTAATGTACATAAACACGCCTTTTATCATCAATGAGCTCGCGGATAGCGAACGACATTGTGAATACTCGATATAAATGCAGATGCTTTTGGCGTAAGTTATATTCCGCATGTCACACTGAAGTCGTCACCGCAAAGTTCCAGAAATTTCATACACAAGCATATGCACGGCGCAGATATGTTATAACTCATTATCTGTGCACAGGTTGCGAAGCGTACCTGATTATTTCGGTAGTGTTTATTGTCCGCAATACGAGAAGGAGCTGTATAAAGTCTGTAATCATATTCTGTAACGGTGAACACCCTTGCGTGAACCGAACGCAAGGGTTTTGGTGCGCCCGACAGACGTACACGAGGCAAACGAGGAAGCGTAGATGAGGGAAAAGTATAGCTGCTATATTAACATAATTAAGTCTTTAACCACTGTCTCTCTGTTTGACTCAACTTAATTATACTAATCTAACTGAATGTATGACGACGTCTACTCACCACTCATTGCGCGCGTCTTGCGGCGATTGGTGGGTTGATATCGTCAAGATATCAATCAATGAGCAGACTCTTTGGTCGACCCATCAACATCACCACTATTGGTGATATTGTTAAAAGAATATTCAACATGATATTCTTTAATTGTCATTATCTCATAAATGACAATTTCCATGTAACGGGCTGCCCCGTTACATATTCTACACCTATTGAAGTGACGATACATACGTTGTAGTACGATCTGGCCTTGCCGCACGAGTGAGTCCGACAGCTACTTGCAAACAAGTTTGATCGACCTGAATGTGTACCATGTGGGCTCATTCGAAAGAAGCTTGACATGATGCTGCTTTATTTTTTCATATCCAGGATGATTGTTTATCGAATAAAGAAGACACAGCACCTCTATTGCAAATATATCTTCGCCAACAAACCTACAGAAGATATTGGAGTGAAAAGGATATACATGCTATGAAGGCTGTAAGAATGTGAGATGGGTGAACACAACAGACTCCCGCGTACTTTTGTGATCCGCATTCCACAAGGTCACGATTTTGAAACACACATGTTTGTCGAACGACAGTTTGAATAACGCCTTTTACGATTTATATAGCAGAAAGTTCTAATTCTCGTCGACTTACGAGGAGTTTGAGATTCTGTGGAAGACATGCACAACATTGACGAATGGAAGAGAGAGCGTAGAACAGCGTATCGAATGTAGCGCAGTTAGACTGACCCGAGTCACGATAAGAACCTCTGAATATTGTGGCTGGATAGTTCATATCACAAAAGCCACTATCATTCCACTGCGGATACGAGTTGCCAAGCACAGACATGCAAGGGAATACAAAACGACAAGACTAAATTCATAGCGCAAATACTGTAGTTCGTCGAGTGGAAACCTGAATAGTTTACCATTGCATCCGGTTCTGGTGATGACGGAGGGATGAAGGTACCATAATCAATACATTTTGTGTCTGCTGCACAAATTTGTCTGCAGATCTGATGCTCTTACGAATGAGGTCGTACAGTCGATTACGCGATGAGCGATTGTGCAACGTGTGGGATTTGTTAAGTAACGTCACTGCCTATGATGAGTGTGGGTACCACGTCGAGGTAGGGAGCTCATTAAAATGGCCAGAGTCGACGCTTAGAATATCGATGAACAGGATAAGAGTAAGCTGCTCTGGAACTATCTCTCTCCGTGTATGGAGATATCGAATTGGACCTTTTGTAAAAGTATGCGCTCAGAGGTGAGAACGATCCCCTGGAGTCTTTCTAGAAGGACATCACCCCCCATCGAATTCGATAGAACACCTTTAATAAGTTTGCTCGATTCATGTAATTAGACACACCAGAATAGTTACATTGCCCGGTGATGGTGATAGGCGTAAACGTCACTTCTGCGTACATGTCTTCTAAAGCGCAAGTGTGCACTCGGGACATTGCGATATGACATGCGTCGCTGTATCGTTTTGACCTCTTTGTTCGATCAAGACATAGGTGGTCTACTCTAGACCTTGGCTACCGCGTGTACGATGCTTCCTTACTTTGCTACGCCTTATGATGTCAAAGCACTGAATCTGTTTCTCCATCATCGCTATTGCAAGAAACCTCTGCTTTTGCACTCACATGGTTACACTGCGTGTGTACAATTCCAATGCAGTGCACCACCGAAGAAAACGATGGATGAAGGAGTCACACAGCATTTCGGCTTACTTAGATGTAGTTTTTATCCGCTGTGTGGACTATCTTTGGCGCTTTCAGGCACGTAACATGCAGATGCTGGCTCACCTTCGGCATTGTGAGGCGATCACAAGAGCATGCGACAAAAGGTATGCGCATTGGATACTAGGCTAGATGAGCTACATCATGCGTGGTCAATCGGCGTGTTGTGGGTTGGTGTGCACGAATCTTTACCGAACAAGCTCGCAGTTCTTGGTTGTTGTTCTTCAGCAAGATAGAGATTTAACATGCGTCGCCGATTCGTCGTGCCGCTTTCTCTACTGCTCCCGGCTCGTCAAAAGCCGCGTTCGTTGGCAGCTTTCGGCTAATGATTGTGGCTGTAGTAAGGTTCTCCGCGAGCTGTGTCTGTGTCTTGTTGGATGCCGCCTACCACTCACGCAGCTTCGTAACTCACCACTCGGTGGACTGCGGGCGTAGATTCTCGAACAGGTGGGCTTTCGACGCGTTCACCGCCTGATCGAAGTGTGCCGGTGCAAGCACTACCTTTGGCAGGCAGCCAACAGTTTGGCAGTACTGACACGGCTTTGACAGCGAACGCGGTGTGGCAGTGCCCGTTCACGGAAATAAAGTGCACGTAGCACAAGAATCCATCGAGCAGCTCAGTTGGAAGTAGCAGCTCCGTGAGGCTGCATGTTGACGCAAGTTGTTTCGTACAACGGGCGTCACGACGCTATGGATTGAGACCGTGTCGCACGGCGCGTCTTCAGTGCGCCACCTAAGTACGACGCGTGACAACTCGCGTGTCGATCCCCCTCCATCACGCCCCAATGCCTCGCGAGCGACTTCCCGACTTTCCGTCTTCTCGTCTGCCTCTCTCTCTCTCGAGCGTCGCGACGATCTCATTCTGCAATTCGCACCTCCGCGCACACATATGACACCCGACCAGTGCGAGTCCACCGTTGCACCGGTCCCGCACCAGCCGCACCGATCGGACGACAGCGCGTGTTGCGTGGACGCGTCGGCTGCGCTTGCGCACAAGTCGCTGCGTGAGATGCCGTTCCACCCGCTGCCGCCGCCTCAGGTGCGCGTGCCCACTGGCGATCGATTGTCGAGCGCCGACAGTGTCGACCAGCCGCAGCAGCTTTTGTTGGGGCCCGCAGTCTGTGCGGTCGCTGTCCTGGAAACTGCACCCACGTCGCATTCATTGGACCAGAAATACCCCAACGACGACGACGACGACGACGAAGACATGCGGCACGTCCGTCTCAAGGCCCGTCATAGCCTCCGCAATAGCAATAGCAGCAGCAATAGCAATAGCAGCAGTTTGCTGCGTGCGTCGCTCCTGAGCACGAGCGGCTCAGTGCCGCTGCCCCCGCACAGCAAGAGCCTCGTGCTCGACCCCGAGTCGAATGGCGCCGTGCTGCAAGCTGCGGTCTCGTCGGGCGCAGAGGTCGTGGAGGTCGTCGCGGAGCAGAGTTGGCTCATCACGAAGCTCTTGCTGCAGCTGCTCTGGGCGCTGCGCATGTCCAAGCGCTGGATCCTCTGCGCTCTCCGTCTCGTGTCGTTTGTTGTCGTGCTGCTCTTTCCGCTGATTCGGATCGCGCTCTACTGGTTTACCAGCCCAGACGTGCACAAGAACATCATCTACGGACTCAACCGCCGCAACCTCCTGGACGTGTACACAGTGCCCCGGTCGGCCCACGACGACGCGACGGCATCGGCGACAGGCACTGCGCAGCGCTCTACACCCGGCGCGCGTGCGCCGAGCAACGCGAGTTTCATGGAGAAGAAGCACCCGGTCGTCGTGTTTGTCTCGGGAGGCGCGTGGATCATCGGGTACAAGGCCTGGGGCGCCTTGATGGGCCGCGTGCTCGCGTCGCTCGGGGTCGTCGTGGTTATGCCCGACTACCGCAACTTCCCGCAGGGCGTAGTGCCCGACATGGTCGAAGACGTGACGCGCGCGATGCAGTGGGTCTTTGACAATGTCCACCTCTTTGGCGGAGACCGCAGCAACGTGCACCTCATCGGGCAGTCGGCCGGCGCGCATCTCGCGCTCTGTGCGCTGCTCGAGCAGGTCGACCAGAGGCGCAACGCTGCCGCGAACTCGACCGTGTCGCCAACCGCCAGCGTCACGTCGGGACCGGGCGCTCTGTCGGACTGCGAGAGTCTCGACAGTCTGTCTCCGTTGACGCAGCCCATCACGTGGACGCTGCGGCACGTGCGCAGCTACATTGGCATCTCTGGGCCGTACAACATGGAGGCGAGTATTGCGACGTTCCACCGCCACGGCTTTGACCGGGCGGTGGTGGAGCGGATCATGGCCCATCAATTGGCTTACTACTCGCCGTCGCTGCGGTTGGCTGCGCTCACTGAGCTGCCTCGGGACACGCGGACAAAGGCGCTCGAAGACTTTCCGCCGTGCTATCTGTTCCACGGCACAGCGGACAAGACGGTCAACTATCGGTCGTCCGAGCAGCTCACGGCGGCTTTACGAGCCTGCGGCGTTCCGGTGTCAACGCGCTTCTTTGAGGGCAAGACGCACACGGATCCGATCATTGAGGACCCGATCGTCGGGGACGATTTCCTGCTGGACGACGTGATGGCGGCGTTGAACGCCCAAGCGCCTCTGGACCCCATGAGCGGGAAGCCGCGGTACGAGTTGCGGCCACGGCCACAGGAGGGACGCTATTACCCCAAGGTGCTGGTGCGTCTGGCCCGTGCGATCAATCCGTTCTAACGCCAGGGCGGGCGCAGTCGAGCCTGGAATGTGACGAGGCAGGAGATACCCGACGTAAGCGTGGCCAGCTCAGACCGATTGACTCTGTGACTTACTTGACTATCATCGGACCGATAGAGCGATTCATTGATGGATTCATTGGCGCGACCGACGCGGGACGCTTACTACACTTGGGATGGAAAGCACTGTATATTGATAATTGGACAAGCGAGCGAGCGAGAGAAGAGGTCTCCTGCGCGTGACCGAAGGCGAATCGACAGCAGAGTCGCTCTTTACTGCTTGTTCATGCGGTTCTTGAAGACAATGACGGCGCCAATGAGGAGGATGGCCAGCACGCCCGCCACTGCTGGACCCACGAGCATCATCATGGTCGGTCCCTCGTGCGCAGGTGCATGAGCCTCGGCGGGCTTCGTTTCGGAACTCGTCGAGTGGGAAGCAGGAGTCGAGGCCTTTGATCCGGTCTCCGTCGTCGAGTGGGGAGCAGGCGTCGACCCCTTTGATTCGGTCTCTGTCGTCGTGTGGGACGAAGGCGTGTGCGGGGGATCAACAGCGGGTTGCGGGGTCTCCGCCGACAGGACAGTGGCAGCTTCGGTTGCAGCAGTACGAGGCGTTCTGACGGCTGGCGCGTCGAGAGTGGTTTTGTCGGAAAAGGTGTAATTGTCGTCTTGCTCCGTGGTGCGTAGCAGACGAAGGGCCGCGTCAGCTACTGCAGAGCCGACGCTGCAGGCGCAGACAATGGCCACGAGGAGTACAAGTCGCGTCGAGAGGCCGAGTCGGGTTTTTGCCATGGTGGGGTCGGGGATAATTCTGAAATGCCACAGGTGGGGGCAAAGTTCAGCGAGAGAGGCGGAAGGAATACTGCGTGCCGACGGATGGGATGGGATGGGACATTTTGCATGGACGAAAACGTGCGTTGGACCAGCGTCGTGTCCTGTTCGAGTCTTTGCCGACGTCTGAGTAACTGACCGAGCGGCAGGCGGGTGTGCACCACAAAGGCGGCCGCGACACGACGATCGCGCACGGCGCTTGTTCTTCGGACATGCGATTGCTTGCGTGGGGCGGCCGACACGCACTGTCCACGCTCTACCCCGCCACCCCCTCGTCGCGCAGCCAGGCGGATGCGTTCATACGCCTATCTGAAGTCTGTCGCCTCGACGATCGACATGGCCAAGGGAACCACTTGTGCCTAGGGCTAAGTTCGCACTGTCCGTCGTGACTGCGTCCGTCTGTCCACGCTTCGCGTCCTTGATCGTCTTGTCAGTTTGGGTCTGGTTTAGTGAAAATTGCGCCGTAAGTGTTCAGTTAGGTATGTGCACGTGGAACGGCACATGTCACGTGGTTGTAACTGTGTCTAACGGCAGGGGGCGCGTGGAAGCGCTTGCCTTCGTCGCACGACCGATCGATCGAGCAGCACTGGTGTACATTACGTGGCATGGGCTCTCGGAAGAAATCGATTGAGCCGTAGACACCTCGTGTGCGTGTCACGGTCAACCAGCGTCGTGGTGATGTGCCCTCGACCCTTGTTTGGTAAATGACCGCCTACCGCGCCGAGCTGGACGAAGCTCGTCCAATGACTCGAGTCGAGCACTGTAGCCAGCATTTTTCGAAGTGGGATATAAAGAAAAAAGCGTTGTGACCACGTTCGACGACTTCGTATCATACGCGATCGATTGTGACTGCCGTCAGGAAGAGAACGTTGGGCAGACTGCTGCACGGATGAAGGCGATTGTACTGCTGCCCTGTCACGTGTTCGCCAAATCGTACTGACCTAAAGATGTATGGACCAATAATTGCGCCATAAGAAAGAGAAAGGTTCAGAGAATTGTTAAGTCTCTAATCCAGCACGTTCTTTTGCGATTCTTCATCACCATCTGTCGGATAAGGTTCTTGCTGCGCGTTTATCGGAAGCTACCGACCTGTTGTGGTACACCTAACGCGTTTTGCTGACAGTCTGTATTTGTTGGCCCACTTATTTGGGCTGCGCGACTACCGTGTGCAACTCCCTTTGCGACAGAGCCAATAACAGTCGATGATCCATTCAAGAGAATATAAAATCGGGAGAGAGCGACACGCGCACATGCCGCATGTTTGACTGTTTCGCTTCTACAAAGAGGGTATGCGACGATCAGTTCTATGACCCAATCGTATGTCATCTGTAAACACGGAAGCAACACCTGGCTGATTGCGGCAGTGGCATGTCTGATCTCATTGTATCATGCGATTGATTGCCTGGCGGCTGACACAAAGAATGTAGATAAACGAGTCGATGTGGGAATCAAGAAAACTGATCTGTCGCTTGTTTGCTTGCTTCGTTTGTGCCTGTCCCTGCTATATCGACAAAGATCGCGTATTTTGCTGGCGACTCGCCCTTGATCTAATGTTTAGGACCACATACTATCCTCTCAAACCAGACTACAGGTCACTTGTATCGGATACCATGTGACACAATAGATATAGTTGCATGACATCAGCATATTGCATACAACAATGTTTATCTTAACGTCTACGTTCTGCTCGTATCGTTTGTATCTTGAATATCACAGTTGCCCGCACCGTTCGTATGTGGGCGCTATATAATCCTGCCCACGATTAAACCATTATTGTAACCCATGTGTAGACAAAAAAATAAACGAAAGAATTGCGCGGACCATCGCTTTTTCATCCCGCGCGCAAAGCAAGCACCAACGATACGGCCACATCGTCTCGCCGGCCGAGGCTTGCGTCTACGGCTACCAAAATCTTCGTTCAAGTTATCGTCCGCCCACTTTGATAGAAGGTGGAATACAAGAGCCCCTTTTAATTAAGGTGTTGCGATTGGCCTCATGCATTTCTAGGGTCTTCTCATTCCTTGACCCGCCAGCCACTTTTGCCAAAGCGCAAAGTGCTTCTCTGTGCATATTATTGGTGCTTGTCTAGTGCAGGACGTGTAGCGTTTCTGCAGCGAGAGCATTTCGCCTCGTAGAGTACACGAGCGACATTTACAGAGATTAACGCAAACATTTTTCTTTCAGCATGCGATAGATGATGTCCTCCTACAAAATGGCTCGCTTCCTTAGCGTTGCAGATAGTAACTGCAGTGCTCGGACCGTGTATTCGACACCTCTTGCTTGAGAGCGCAGACATCACATTTACTATTGAACATGAGAACAGGTGTCCAACCTCCAAACTAAATGAAATCTCGTGCCATCAAAGATCGGGTGCGCGACATTGATTGCGTGAATTGAAAGTACCGTCTACCTATGCGATATGCACGGTGTAGCCATCCAAACTGGTATCTTTCGCAGGCGCAATACGAGCCGCTGTCGGTAATAACCATTCAATCTCCCACAATACCAATGCTTTATCGCGCATTCTTGTACAATTCTTCTTTTAACTCCTGCCACCGAAAGTAAAAGCTCGAGCGGCTGAATACCCTGCGCTTTGGTCACGCGCTTTAGATTGGCAATCTTTCTTACCTCTATTCGAATCAAAGCATGACGCTTATGTGCGGCCATTCGTATCATCCTGTAAGCCCAAACGATGCACCAACTCATTCGTTCTTTCTGATGTTTGACTCCGAAATTATCGAATTCACATCAAAAGTACAACGCAGTTGCAACTTGCACAATACTCGCTCGTTCTACTCGACAAGATGTTTTGGTTTACGCATACCGCTCATACGCTGAACATCTACTGCAGCTACCGTGCTCGATGTTTTTTGCAAACCTTTGCTAGCTGGCGGTGTTGGCATCCATTGTCTTAACCAAACCTCTAAGTTATAGATCTACCAGCTGACCAATCGACTAACTTATTTTCTAGCGCAGTCTCATTTAGCCGGTCTAGATACCTTTATCAGACCAGTTGAGCAGCATTTGGCGACTTGCATGGCCTCGTACGCCTTCGACGTCATCTACCTGTTCATTGCAAGCGATAAAGTCGTACTCCATCTCCGCATAAACTGGTAAAGCGGAAACGCTGTAGCTATGTAGTCTGTCCTAAGGGTGATCGCACTTCTCGCGGCGAAGATATGAAAAATACTTTATTTACTCTCAAGCTTTACGGTCGGTGTCGCAATATTCTTACCGCTTACTTAGGTTCACTCGACCTTTGTCACAACTCACGAGAGATGTCATTCGCGCAGCACATGGGTGATGTCAAATTTTAGCGCGTCGTTGTATTCGTAAAGCTTGTGGAGAGTCCAAAATATACGTCCATCAGCATGGATGCAAGAAGTCTCTTCGCACCGATTGTTCGTTTCGAGTGAAGAAGAAAAGTGGCGTTGGTACACTCGGAAGTCGTAAAAACAAACTGGTCTGTGCGCATACGATGACGCTTGATAATCGTGAAAGAAAGTGGTCATTGCGGATATAATGTAAACCTGGTTTCGACAAGCCATTCTCGTGAAGTGGCATGCAATGTATGGATTGAGCTCGTTTAAATTTTTTAGCAAAATGTAGGAACTTCTTTTGCGACAACAGAGATAGGTGCAAACGGTAACGGCGGTCTTGCCTTCGTTACGACAATTTGAGTCACCCATGTGCCAAGAGCCTCGATTGGGACTGGTGCATACGCAGGTTGAGGCTTCCATACGTTGACCTGTATGCTCTAACCTTTTTTGTTTCCTCATCTGAGTTCTAGTGTATTGTCACGTAACACAATTACAAGTCACGACGTTGCAAATGGTGATTATGCCGACTTGCTTGACAGTACGGCAGCTGCATGTATTGCTGTTTACACATTGAATATAAGTACTCCTTGGCGTCATGCCGTCAAGACCCAGTGAAACAGTTTGCCGACTATTATTGTTCAAGAGTCGAATCGGTGATATCTACCAGCTTTTTGCCCTGGACCAACAAATGACGACCCTATATCCTATGTACGACATCCTATTCCAATCAACCGGGGAAGTTGGGCATCCATGCGCGCTTGTTTATCATTTTTGCTCGAACCCAGTTGGCGGCGTTACATGCTCGTAGTCGTGCATTCAGATTATATGCAATGCTCAATGTTTTCGGTTTAGCGTACAAGTTTGGGTTTGTTTCGCGCACATGGCCGTATTTGATTTCAAAAGAGGTCCGAGGATGCTAGTATGTGATAGATTATCCGTCTCGTACATTGTACACATGCGTCACGATGCACCTAGCGCGAAGACGTCCACGAGCAAGTGATCCGCTGGGACTACGCTTTGGTTCAACTATGACGCCGCCTGACACACTTATGGTCGTTTGCTCGTGACGACGCTCGTATCAGATTCTTTTACGATACGGACCAGTACCTCATGGGCCACCCTCGATCTGTCGATCGCGATAAGTCACGGCGAGACTTGTGTACCACTCGATGACGGCCGCATACTTGTAGACGAGGGAGGCGCATTTGCGCTTTGCATTCCTCACACTCGCTGTATGTGATCCTATGTTGCAGCATACACCAATGCCCTATTGAGTTGACCATCTTTGTAGTGTCCATTTGGTAAATTCCACCCAATCGCTCTCGTTTCGGTATTGTCAAATCTCAACCACACGGGTTCCCAAATCGAACAGACGCTCGTGCCAGCGCCCGCCTCCTCCATCCAAACAGCACGTGTTGTCGTCACAACATCACGCAGCCACTCTCCCATTTGTCTGAAGGCGCTCGTTGGAGCCGTGCACGTCGCAGCTCCATGCCCGAGTATCTCGTCTATTTCGTGCACCAGCACTTTGACTTCCGCTACCCTGAGCTGGAGGCATTGCTGACGATGCAGGCGCTCCCTGGCGTTGCCGAGACCGTGTTGAACGACCCCGTGACGAAACAACTGCCGGCGCCTGAGAGTTCGCCGCTCGTGCGCGTGCAGCTTCCGTCCGAACGCCACGCCAAGTTTCTGTCTGAACGTGGGATTCTGGTCAAGGGCGTGTACGAAGTTTGGGGCCACACAGCGACTGGGGGAGGCTACGATGAGCTTGTGGCATCGGTCGAAGGTTTTCAAGGATGCAAGAAGCAGGAGATGTTCAACGACGAACGGCGCTCGTGGCGGATCAACGCCAGTGTGTTTGGCAAGAAGCTCAGCATGGACGAGCAGCAGAAGCGGCGCGAACGGTTTCGTGACGTGCTGCCGTTTGCTGGACCGGTGCAAATGAAGAGCCCGGACGAGACATTTCTGATCCTGGAAGAACTGCATCTGGACCAAGAGCTAACGCCGAGTGTGAAGCCCAAGCAAATGTTCTTCTTGCGTGAGCTCGCAGGCAGCGAAAAGAATCGAGGGCGTGGCGGGGCGCGGGATCTTGTTGATCAGCAGACGCTGAAGCGTAGGGCGTACATTGGTCCCACTTCAATGGAGTCAGAGATGGCGCTGCTCATGAGCAACATGGCCCTCACGCAGCCCGGAGATCTAGTCATTGACCCGTTTGTTGGTACTGGCAGCGTGCTGATCCCGTGCGGTACCCATGGCGCCACATGCTTTGGCACCGATATCGATATTCGGGTTCTCCTTGGCACAGGCGTTGGTGTAACGGGCGCTGGTGCTGTCCTGATGGACGGATTCTCTGACGGCAAGGCGCGCGTGAATGTCATTACGAACTTTAAACAGTACGGTCTGCCACTTCCCGAGCTTATACGCGCTGACAATTCGGACTCTCCTCTTGCAAAGAGGTGCTGTGGGTTCTTCGATGCCGTCGTGTGTGATCCCCCGTATGGAATTCGCGCAGGAGCTCGAAAGAGTGGTCGAAAACGGCAGGCCAAAGGCGATACAAACTGTGCCATCAAGCAAGAAAATTACATTGCGCCCACGCAGCCGTACGCTGCAAAAGACGTGATGAAAGACCTCTTGGAGTTTTCTGCTCAGACGCTGCGTGAAGGAGGGCGGCTGGTGTACCTGTTACCAACGACTTACGAATACACCGATGCTGATCTACCGCGCCATTCTTGCCTGCAGGTGCTAGCTAATTCGGAGCAGAAACTGACTAAAAAGTACGCGAGACGCCTTGTCACGATGATAAAGCGCACGCCGTCCACAAGTGAGATAGATACAGTTGCATGTGCAGTGACACCACTTAACAGCGACCCGAGTTTTGCAAACTTGCGAGACAAGATCCGGAAGCGCAAGTCCGAAGACGTTGATGGACCCGAGTTGTAAATGGACCGGATGCAAGGCAGTCAGTGCTCGGTAAGCGACCACTTGACGTCTCTTGAGGTGCGAGGACTTTCTTTGCAGGAAAGTCATGCTGAAGAGCTACTGTACGAGAAGGAGCACAAACCTTTTTTTCGGATAAAAGGGATAGCGGCAAGAACAATGACTTCCATGTCGCTGAAGTTCATCTTGTGCGACCCTGAGGACGTGTCGGCTACGTGCTCACGTCAGGATGTAAACGAGGAGTGTGACGGCAAAAGCAGCTCGCCCGGAATGAGTTTTGACAGTACTTTTGTAGCCAGCTCAAGCTCTTTAGCTCCCCGTCAAGCCACATGTGACCAGAAGAGCAGCGGCTTACCCCAGAAGCTGGACAGGTACGGGCACTTCATTGCCTAGACGCTTGTACCGTCTTTTTTACTTTTGTCTTCCGCTAATCTTTTGTGCTGCAGGCAGCAACACACGCGTCAACTGCAAAACTTGCGGCAGCGTCGTTACCGTGAGCGGAAAAAGTTGAGCGCATCAGCATTGCACTCCAACTCGGAGCAATTGCATCACGAAAACACTGCGCTGGAGGCTGCTATCTTGGAACGGTTCAAGTCGCGGACGTCTGTCTAGATTTACCGTAGAGGTACAAACGAATGCAGTTGATGCTGTACGCGATAGGATGATGAGAATAAACGAGACAAAAGACTGATTGAAACTGGAGCAACTTCTCAATCGTAACACGCGGCGGGTCTATGATCGGAAATCATTGACGTCGTGTTGCATATTCTGTGGTTGCTCGAAGAATTTGTGTCGACACTTTTGTACCCACGACATGACAACACTATTTACAAATGGTCAGCAGCGAGGCGACAACATGTATTGATCCATTTTGATGTACACCAGTTCGACCATGCGCGCAGCTGTGAGAAAGACCTCGATATGTAAAATGTAGCTGCACGATGGACCCATACATGTGTAAATGGAAACAAACGTACAGGCAACCGACGCACGCAAAACTGACATATTAGGATCTTGCCATGAGTACAGAGGCCGCAACTACGTTCACACGCCCTCGTACCGACGTTTATCGATTATACGCCTTTCGATTAATCGAACTGAATGCTGCCCACCAGGAAAACGTGCTCGCAAACTAGCGTCAACTTGATTGGATGCACACAAGGCCAGGCAAAAAAGCCGTGCTGGCGCCAAAGGCAATGACGCTGCGTGCTGTCTCCAGTATGTCTTTCGATTACGCATAGCTATGCCATCGATCCAAGGTAAGGGACAACATGACAAGCCGAAAAGAATGGACTCTGCTTACTCGGCCACTGTGAGGTCTGATATGTGCGTACTAGTGCGTCGATCGGTGGAAGTCGACACAGACAGCGAGGTCAAAACGATAGGGTTGGGGGTCATACAGTGACGCTTTGCTTGTAGCGTCATGTTCCTGGCTCATCCTCACCCGCTTCGTGCTTATGGTATTCTCCTGGTCTAGTTGGCGGTAATGCGACGACGTGAGGTGATATGGACGCTTTTCGCTTCGCCTCACTCAACATTGTCTTCAACCTTGGAAATACCGTCTACCTCGAAGAAGCTCACAATTGTAGGCGAAGCGTAATGTAAAAAGAGCGAATAGTATTTGTAAATAGATGATGTCACAAAAAATAGCATTGCCCTGAGCTAATTAAATCGAAGAGCTGGCACGCTTCGAAACTGTTCGACTCGACTGTTACACACGCGAAAGGTGCCTTCCCTCCGCGACAATGGCTCGGTTCATGCAGTAGTGTACGACAGATTCTAGCAAGATGTCGTGGTCCTGCTGCGAAGTCCGGTCAAAAACGTCAGTATCTACGTCGTCTGCTGTTCCGCTGCGTCTGTGATTAACGTCGCAGTTTGCATTTCCGAGCAAAGTCGATCACTTTCGGACCTGTCTGCTGACTGTAGCCATCTCTCGAGCTTCACAAACAGGCGGGCGCGCCACGCGTTGATCCGAAGGCTTGTTTACACAACTTCAGGTTAAATCAGTCCTGCCCTAGCCCTAGCCACTGCCAAGCGAGCTGTTTGACTGCTTGACAGCTTTGTCTGTCCTCGATGGCAGACCCAGCTGAACTGGACGGATCCATCCGCAACGCATACCCTGTCAATGTCGATCGACCGATCCACCCAATCGCAGTCTACGTGTCCGCTGAAACCTGATCCGATCTCGCTGCTGTTGTCGCGCCGTCATGATGGCTCGCTCGCCCAAAGATAATTATTAATCAAGTGCCTGAGCTCGCGCCGACCTTCCGTCGCCATGATGACGTCGCCTCGACAAGCGACCGCTGCGTCCGCTCGCTCCGAGCCGCCTCGTTGTCTCTGCCTTCCAGCAGACGGCCCGCGCACGAGCGCCGTCGCCTCGCCCACTGCCGTGAAGACCCCACAGAGCGACTCGCTCGACATGCGCAGCCAGACGTGCGTCGAGTTTCTGCACATTATGAAGGAGTTCTCCGAGAGCTCATGCGACGCAAACGAGACGGTCCAGCGCGTGGATTCGCTCGTGAATCAGGACGAGCAGCTGCTGCGCCTCTTCCCGCTGTCGCGCCTTAGTGGAGACGGAAATGGACACGAGGCCGCGCAGAGGCAGCTCGAGCGACGCGGCCGTCGAGTGCTGGAGAAATCGGTCGAGGCAGCAGCTGACGGTATTACGGGCCGACCGGACCTGAAAGACACGGACGTCGAGATGGACGGGACGCACGACGAGTTGCAGCGCTGGATGGACCTGGACCTCGACGAGTTTGACTACCACGTCGACGTGTTTGACTTCCAGCACCCGCACCCGCAAGCTGCGCCAAATGACGAGTGCGTCACGGCCTCAGCGCCAACAACGATGCTGTCGACAGCGTCGATGGCATGGACGAAGCAGCAAAATGGCCATAATGGTGGCAACGGTGGTAATAGTGGAAGCAGCAGTTGCAGTCGTACTAGTAGTAGCAGCATCCGTTGTAGCACTGATGGTCGCAACGAAGGGTGGCTGCAAAAGCCATTGCTGGATGCAGCGACAAGCGCGACGATCGACTTTGGCACTCAGGACACAGTGCATGCGCCGCAAAAGCCACTGCAGGCGGCTATGAACTACGTGCCACGTTGTGAAACGCCTGTTTATGCTGCTGCTGCTGCTACTGCTGCCACCGCTACTGTTGCCCACGGAGATGACGAGTGTGCGCCAAATCTTGTACCTGACAATGCTACGCTGTCGTCTGGTCCGGCTTGGAAACGTGCCAAGGTGTCATTACTAGCTGGATTACAGGGACCCAGGCGAGCAGTGTTGCCGCATGCAAACAGCAAAGGTGGTCCACATGACGAAAGACGAGCGGATCAAGATGAGGATGGCAATGTATGGGGAATGGAGAGCGACGGCTACGAGCATGATCTGCTCTCGTCTATCGACCACGCTGTGCTGTGCGACCGCGAGAACAGGTTCTTGCAGTGGGACCTGGAAGTCGCGCAGCGCCAGCGTCAGCAAGAGCGGCGGAGGTTACAGGTCAACGATCGAGTACCGCATGCATCCGCACCTGCTTATTGCACTGGTCGAACTGCGGGCGACGTGACCACATCGTCAAAGTCCAATTCCAAGGATGCCGTGGCAATCCAGACCCAGCGCTCGCTCTGCCAGCCCAGGCCGAAAGTCATAGCGTCGAGCCCGATGAGCAGCAAGAGCCCGTCGAACGTTGACATTGTCGAGGACTGGAACAGCTTGGACTTTGGTACTTTTCAGAATCGCACCGTGAGCCATATTCTGAGCTCGTGCTTGCACAAGAGGAAGCTGTACCATCCTTACAAGAATCAGGTCCAGCTCGTGAACTTTAATGTCCCGAGTGGCCGTGGTAGCACTTATGTACACGGTACTGGACCGCATGCGCACCAGCTGGGTGGATCGCTAGCAACGAGTCTTGCTTTTGGCGGTCAGCAACACGGTGGCGATGGCTTAGATGGATCATCGATAAGTGGCTTTGTGCCTCTGCTTGCTACTAGGCACGAGAACGGTCTGGGCAGCGGCAAATTTTCTGGCAAGGGGGAAAAGAAGACACCGAAGAAGCGTGAGGAACGTAAGCGGCTAATGACACTCAAAATGCAAGAGACGTTTGCCGATCTTGAAGGAACATTTACGGAGCAAGATCTTGATGTCAAGGGAATCGTCGGACCAGGCGCATCGCTGTCGAAGATGGCATTGTCGAAGCTAGAGAATCTACCGCTGCCGGACTTGACGAACCTTCCTCAGGATCTGCGTGAGTTGAAACGAAAAATTGAAGCTACCGAACACAAGGTGGAAGGCACGAAGCATCGCCACCGCAAGGGCGGTCCATGTCCACGTTGCCAGGTGCAGAATCAGCTGCGTGCAGCGAAGCGTGCGTACCACAAGCGTGCTGTGGCGCACAAGAAGCTACCGCATGCGGTAGTGAGTGCAGTCAATGACGAGGCCCAAGAGGCCGCCAACGCACAGGCTGCTGCTGCTGCGACGCTAGAACTTGCGGGAAGCGTGACTGCAGCAATCAAGGTTGCCGCTGGTGTGGACGCCAGGAAGGGAAGCAATGCGTCTTCACTTGCTGCTGTTGACCCCGGGTTTGCTGCTAAGGCACGACCTGCATTGACTGGAGTGGCGAGTCTGTCGACTGGGCTATTGAAACCGAAGCAGGTTCCTATGCCGTCTTGTGTGTCCCTGTCGCCTCCCGATTCGTCTCGCGCGATGTCTTTGGTGGCAAACACCGGAACAGTTGGGTCTGTCGTTCGAACTGCTGGATCTGGTAGCGGCTCCTCGTCGTCGCTCTCATGCAATGGTGCCCCGCCTCTGTCTTCATCGTCGTCTGCTGCATCCATGCACTCGCGGGCCCGAGGGTTATGTGGAAAAGCACCACCGTCGGCCATGCCATTTCCGTCGCCATCATCGGCGTCCGTGTCACCAACGCTGGCATCGAAGCCATCGTCATCTGAGAGCGCATCACCTCTGCTGCAGCACGTGACGGTGTCCTCAGGCTAATAGTTACCAGTGGTGGAGAGGGCTAGTGGCGAAGATGGGCCAGCTGTTTGGTGCGAAGCGCGCGGAGCCACGGCGTATTTATTAGTGTACAAGAGCTCCCATCATGCGCCACGCGCGACTTGCGCTACCCGAACGCCAATCGGCTGTCGAACAGTGGCGCGGCGTTGTAGCAGATCAGCTGAAAAAGACTGGCAGAGGTCGGACTCGCCTCCCGTTGAAGTCTCCTGTACAGAGGAACGATGCAGTCGCACTAACGACCCGAATAGAGAACTCACGTAGCTACTAGAGCGCTTCAAAGTCCCAGAGGTGCAAATTACATATCGATTAGTACCCTTATCGTCGTCACCACTCAGCTCTCGCCGTGGTCTCCTCGTGGTAGGCGAATAACATTGGCGTCCATCAGCTTCAGGCGCGCACAGCGACGTCGCAGCTTTTGCTCCGTCCACTGCATATTGTTCGTCTTGATGTCGCGCGCCATCTTGGCATAGTCGTCACCATACTTGGCCAGGAGCTTGCGCAGGTACTTGGACTCCTCCTCCGACACGTAGTTCGCAACGCGTTTGGGGTTGCGCTCAGCCAGAAAGTCACTGTCAGGCACGTCGAAGAGACGCGCTTCGTCCAGTGCCTCGAGCGATCCTTCCGCGCCCTTAATGCTCTCGCGCAGAGCACTGTAAGCGTTCGGGTCGGCCTCGAGACCGAGCTTGGCGTAGTTCTGAGACGTCGTGAGGTTGTGGTCCCAGACTTGCTGCACCTTGGGGTCCCGCACGAACTTGGTCTTGAACTTGCGCAGCAGCTTCTGCTTGCGGTGCTGAACGACCTTTCCGCGCCTCTTGATCTTCACGCCGAGTCGCCCCATCGCCAGTCGTCCTCTTGTGGGTTAGCGCTGCACAATGGGTCCCGCGATGGTAATGTGTCACAAGGTCGTGGCGTCACGTCCACCAGTGAATAGGGCCGTGTGTCGAAACGGGTGGTGTGACATGGGTACAGAGGTGGTGGGCGAGCTCGCCCTATTCGATCACGGAAACGAAGTTAACGCTCTCTAATTGACGTAACATAGCTGCACCATCTCGTGCGATACTGCTGGACGTGCCTCGCCACTCCCTAATGGTCGAGACGGCTGCCCCGTGCAACGCCGTTGACCATGAAGCTATTGGGACTGCTGCAATGCTCACAGACAAACGTCTCTATGATACTCGCAGTGCGGCATCGGCCGGTCCGAGCGAACTCGCGAGTAGCTCCAGCCGCGACGTCGACCTCCGCGCCCAAGTGCAAGCGGCTCTAACCCGTCTCTTGAAGGCGAGTTCGGCGTTCAAGGACCTGCAGCCAGGGAACGACTCGCACGTGTCGACGCGCGAAGAGACGATCGCGATGATGCAGCACTACCTCAAGCGTCTGAAGCTCGACGATGTGGTCGAGAGCGGCTCGTCACGCGCGCTCTCGGTCGTGCACGTCGCTGGCACGAAAGGCAAAGGCTCGACGTGCGCTATGGTGGAACGCATCTTGCGTCAAGCAGGCTACAAGACGGGTCTCTTCACGTCGCCGCATCTCGTGTCGCCCTGCGAGCGGTTCCGCGTCAATGGCAAACCCATTGCAGACGACGTGTTCTTGCAGCACTTTGATGCTGTGTGGGACGGCCTCGAGCGCACGCAGGACGAGAGCGCTCCGTACCCGCCGATGGCCTGGTTCTTCCGCTTCCTCACGCTCATGGCGCTGCACGTCTTTGTCGACGAGAACGTGGACGTGGTGGTCTTGGAAGTTGGACTGGGCGGACGCTTAGATGCCACGAACGTGTTCCGTGAGCCAGTCGTGTGCGGCATCTCGACACTTGATCTGGACCACACGCACGTCCTGGGCGAGACGCTGGACCTGATCGCCTACGCCAAAGCTGGGATATTCAAGCCAGGTGTGCCAGCCTTTACAACGGCACAAGAGCCGGTTGCAATGCAAATGCTGACGAAATGCGCCTCGGAGACTGGCACTCCACTTGTGTGTGTGCCAACGCTCGATGGCTATGGTCCCGACGGCGTGCACTGCAAACTTGGACTGTGCGGGGATTACCAGCGTACAAATGCAGGACTGGCCGTCGCCTTGGCCACGACGTGGCTGCGTAAGAAGCGTGGCAAAGACGCAATTGCTCCATCGGCCTTTGGTAAGGCTCTGACACCAGTCGTAAAAGAAGGACTTGAGAACGCGTTCTGGCCTGGTCGAGCGCAGTTATGGGAGGACAAAGCGCACAGGATGCGGTTTTTCATTGACGGTGCGCACACGCTGCGAAGCCTTGAGTGCTGTGCGGACTGGTTCGGACAAGCTACTACAGGTCGACCAGCGCCGAACGATCGACTTGTGCTTGTATTTACGATTCATCACGAACGCAATGTGGCACAGCTGTTCAAGCCGCTGATGGAGCAACGCTTTGATCGCGTCTACTTTGCCCCCACTTGCTCAATCCGCCCGAGCCTGGCCAAGGTACACACCTTCTCTGAAGCTCTCCAGCATGCTGGTTTCGACGATGTGTTGGCCACGTACTCGTCAAAAGAGCTGGCGGTTTTAGATGATGTGGAAAGCGAAGTGCACCCGTGGCAAACGACGCTCTCGCGAATTTGGTTTGCCCTGAAGACTCGCGTCATGAAAGAAGATCAGAGTAACTGCATCATTGCTGTCAAAAGCTCAGTGATGGACTGCATCAGTGAGCTGCGGTCACTGTCTGATGATGTAAATGGCTCACTGATCGAAGACAGGGTTGAGAAAAGTGAGCGGCGCAACAAGGTCTGGAGCGTGTTGGTGACGGGCTCATTGATTCTCGGCGGTGAGGCGCTAGAGGTTTTGGGCTGGCAAGAATGAAGTGGTGGGAAAAATGTACCGATGCTTGGGCTGCGGGAAGAACTCCGTGCAACAAACGTAGTGCAGCTGTACACAGCTTGAGTCCATGCAGTCTTCTTGAGCGACAAGCACAGAGGTACGACGAATGAATGGTACAAAAAGAGCGGAATTTCTCGTCCAATTCGAACCCTCCACACATTTCTTTCGCGATGGCATCAAACGCTTTGGCCCAAAATTCGGCGTTCAGCGCATTAGACAACGGCCGTGTCTGCTATTTTGTCAATAGGACGTCTGAACTAAAAGGTCCTTGTCACAAATTAAAGGCGACTGATATCGAAAGGTACATATTCTCAATTTCTCACTGGCGGTCTTTGTTAGATCCATCATATATTGATGTGGAGCTGGTTTTGAAGCAGGCAACAACAGCCTATGAGCTGTGCTACAGCCGGTTAACACGCAAGAGCAGGAAAGCCGCTACGACAAGACTCCGTTTGTGCACGCATGGCACGTCGCGCAAGTAATCGTGGCATCGGTTTGGCAGTCAATTCGATTCCACTTACCATCTTGGCTATCTTAGTTTATTGTTAAATGGCAACTGAAATTTTAACGGAGTAAACTTGTCACATAATATTACCAGTTATATTGATAATGGCAATAGAATATATATAAAGTTTACTATTCTCGTTCGAATTTCACTGAGCTCAGATATACATATTGTATTGTTGCAGTGACCCAAGGGTCTACTCATTGGTTGATATACCATTGTACCAACCCACTAATCGCTGCTAGAGGCACGCAATAGTGGGTGAGCAGACGTCACCATAGATATTACCGATTATATGGCTAAACAAAGCTTATAAGACCAGACACATTTTTAACTTAATTGTAATCAAGTAGTATTTATAAGATATCTTTATCTAAGCGTAGTCGCATGGTCAAAATTCTTCCCCTAGCGTCCCCTGAACAATACATATTAAGGCTTACGATTATGCTAGTGAGAGCTTGATACGCACTGAAGCTAGAACGTAGCTATCAGTACCTCGTAACCGTTTTCCTTTTCTCGAGCGTGAAAGTTGCTAGTCATATTACCAATGCACGCGACTGTCATGTATGTATTTTCGAATTCCCAGGGGATTTTGCTTCGCGGCACCCGCTCGTACTTGGATACTCGTTATTTGATAGGAGGCATGATTGCCCTGTTGAAATTTGAATTTGCAGCGGCAGGTGCCAAGTAGCAACAGTTGTCAAAAAAATGTAATGGGTGCGGAGCGACAGGGTCAGTGCGACGTTGCCAGGTCTTGGTGGGTGAGGAGCGAAGGGGTCTGAATGACAACAAAATCGGTTGGTCTAGAAGCGTGCGTAAAAGAGAAGATATGAGACCATGCACAGCACCTGCAAGCGTAGTAGTTGTGTGCACTAGGAATAGCCAAGTGCGCAGGTATATTTAAATGTCAGTTCCAAAAACACCATCCCGTGCTAACATCTTATTTAAGCAACCCGTTATGTTCAACAGGGTTATGAGCCCAAAAGACGCGGTGAGCTCAAGGAAGAAGATGGATAAGCAAAAGTACACGAGTGAAGGAGTTCCGATCGAGTGGGATGGGCGTGATTGGCAGTTTTACAAGCTGGTCATGCGAAATGTCTTCGATGAGCAGAAGATGAGTGACATGATCGACGAGCGGTATGATAAGGCCAAGCTTACCATTGCGGAAGGCCAAAAAGCATACGATCAACTTCAGCTCCGGGCGAAGCGCTACATCTTTACTAGCCTATCGCGTGATCTGCTACATCAGGTGCGTGAGCACACAACAGCCCCAGAGCTATGGAAAGCTTTGGTGGCTATCTACGAGGACAAGTCGGACCCCACACTTCGAGGACACCGTGTAAGACAGCTGGTTCATGAGCTTTGGAATGCAAAGCTGGAGGAAGGTGAAAATTGGAATGCGCATTTGGCAAGGATGTTTAATCTCAGGACGGATTTGGCTGATCTACAATTCACCGTAAACGAACTCGATATGCGTGAAGCTTTGTTATCTAGTTTGCCGACAACGACTCAATTCAACCAACTGCGACAAACAGTATAGTTTGCGGGTGACGCGGCGATCTATACACCAGAGAAAATTCGAGAGCTGATTCGAACAGCTGCTGCTCTGCAAGAAGAGGCCAAGAGCGGATTTGGCATAGGCGCTCTCATGAGCACAAGGCGCAGGGACGTGGAAAATCATCGTGACCATAAGAAAGGCGTTCATGGTGGTAATAGCAAAGGGTTTAACGCTATTAACAGAGCGAATGGGCTGGATAGAGCGAAGGACAAACAGAAGAAGTGCTACACGTGCAGCAGTTACGAGCATTCGAAGCGAGATTGTCCTCATCGTGCAAAATATGACGATGCATCGACACCAGCCAGAAATAAAGGCGGCGATCGTGATGAAGGTAAACGCAACATGAAGACAAACTTCACGCGACGTGACGTGCTTGGTATCTTTGGTGAGGATCAAGACGTAGGAACCAGTGAAATGGGGCATGTGGACGATGTCGAATGCATTGTTGAAAACAGAAAGAGACCAATTCCGTCGAAATGCAGGAGTAATACATCGACACTGCATCAAACAATCACGTGGTCGGTGACAAACGATACTATATTCGATATAGGGAGCTTTCGATCGACGAAGCGATTGTGCGTGGCGTTGCACCAAGCTTCCAGGAACAACCAGTTGGTGTTGGAACGATCGTTCTTGAGACACTTGTTGAAGGAAGGACAGTCCATACTGTGATCGACGACGTGCTCTTCGATCCTGGTGCGATCAACCCGCTTTTGTCGATGGGACGTGCACTCGATGATGGATTCAAATTCGAGTGGGACTCGAACACGCACCAATTTAGTATAATAAAGAGCAACGAAGCAGTGGCACATGCAGACAAAGTCGGAGCAGCTTGGGTGTTCGAGGGGATAATCGCATCTAGAGACAAGGTTGGCAAAAGTGTAGAGACGCGCGTGATAAACTTTACAGCTCAAGATGGTGTAGCTGATCTGCAGTTGTGGCATAAGCGCTTGGGTCATGTGTGCTCACAGTATATCAAGCTGATGGTGGATAGGAAGCTTGTCGATTGTATGATGCTCTCAGGAAGAGATGTACATGACTGTGAGACATGTCACTTGACAAAGCAAGTACAAAAGTTATTCAGAAAGTCGCTGGACCGCAAAATTGTCATGCCAAATCAACTTGTTTTGCAGATTTGCTAGTGCCGGGCATCTCTTGCGGCACAAGAGTTGGAGCTATTTTGGCCATCATGGATGCATTCAGCAAGTTTGTGACGACCTACATGCTGCGCACGAAAGCAGCAAGTGCAGTGGCCGCTGCTCTAAATCAGTACTTTGCTTGGGCTGAACGACAAGCTCGTCGTCATACAAGCGAAAACATCGGCGATACAAGGGCTGTATATCCGGTACGACAATTACTTACGGACAAAGGTGGTGAGTTCGAGAGTTCCGATTTCAAGCAATGGTTAAATATTCGAGGCATCGAACATGTACAAGTTGGAATAGCCAGTTCGCAGCAGAACCCATGCGAACGGGTTCACAGGACATTAATGGAGATGACGCGAACGATGTTGCAACACTCGGGCATGTCTCAAATATTTTGGACGGATGCGTTTCAATACGCTGTCTATATTAAGAGCCGCATATTTTCTCGTGGATGCACAAGCACTCCGTACGAAACATTGTTTGGAATGCGACCAGACATCCATCATCTTAAATTTTTGGCTCGCTGGCGTATGCGCACGTCAAAGCTATCGCACGTCGTCACAAGCTACACTGTAACGCAAAGATCGGGTATGTTTTGGGTTACGCAGAAGATATTGTGGGTTGCAAACTCTACTTTCCGGATGAACGCACGCGGAAATACGTGCTGACATTCGGGTGAACGAGAACGTTCTCAACCGTGACCGACATACCAAGGCATATGTTGCAACCGACACCGTGGATTTTTGCGATGTACCCATCGACGAGGGCGACAGCGGTGTCGATGCAGACGAAGACGTGACCAATATGTGCTACGACGTATGTGACAGCGATGACGTACGTGATGTAACCGTCTACGAGGGCGACAGCGGTGTTGATGAAAACGAAGACGTGACCAGTATGTTCAACGGCGCAAGTGACAGCGATGTTGTACGTGACAAAGATTCTGCGTCAGGTGTTGGTGAATTTGTCGGTGGATGTCAACTAGGCACAATAAGCCCAGAATCAGCAGCGACATCAGACATGAGTAATGTCAGTGAAATTGTCGAAGAGAGTCATCAAGATTCGAGTGAAGGTGAATGTGCACGCATTGGATCGATTGATGGAGAACAGGGATCAATAGACTTAGACGAACATACGGGAGGTAATGATGTGACGACCACACGCAGCGCGGCAAGACTCGCAGATCTAGTTGAGGCAGGAAAGCGCAAGCGTACACAGCTGTCATCGACAGGAAGTAACACGGGAATCGTGGAAGTCAAGAAGCGACGTGAGGGTTTGTGGCAAACGAGTCAGCGTCGATTTCCATCGCGATTTAATGACTTCATTGTCCAATCAACAATATATGCATCTGGTGACGGGGAGAGAGCTATACACAAAAATGAAGTCAAGATCCCAAAAACCCATGCGGAAGCAATGAATACTGAGTACGCAAGCAAGTGGCGGGACGCGGAATTACTGGAGCTCGAGGCACTGAATGATAAAGGGGTTCTCGAAGAAATTGACGCAGATGACGTTCCACCGTCTACCAACATGTTGACTACGATGTAGGTCTATGCGGTGAAGACCAACGAGCAAGGAGGAGTGATTCGATTTAAAGCTCGCCCCGTTGCGCGCGGTGACAGGCAACGCGCTGGTGTTAATTTTGTCGACACGTTTGCACCGGTCGCTCGCATGGCGTCGTTTCGCTTGTTTGTCGCATTGTCGGCGATGTGAAATCTGGAATTCTACAGTTGTGACGTAAACACAGCCTATCTCAATGCGGACTTACAAATTA